CGAATAAACAATGTAACAGAATCTTTTAAAAGTTTTAAAGCTAATTCCTTTGCTACATATATTTCTAAAAAGCCATTTTATTAATTCATCTTCACAGACTATTTGAGACAATTATTCTAAAATCACTTTTGCTATAGAGGGCAATGTTTTTAAGGCATGTTTTAGAGTTATTATTTGCCCATATTAAGTCTGGTTGTAAGTGGTATAAAACCCAATATAAGTAGCCTTAGTCTGTTTCTTTCCAAGGTTGCCCTACGACCAAAATGGCTTCTAGTCAGGTCCATGTGCCAGTAACCAGAGCCAAACGTTCTTACAGAGAAAATTCTAAGCCTAAGGCGTTGACTTACTGACCTCTGTGCTCTGCCATTCTCTCATCTCTCATGTTAATAGTGTTCCCTTGGAGAACATCTAAAGCAAAAGGCTTGGATCAGAAGGTGACACCTGCAGTGCAATTTCTGTCGATGTTCGAATGGCAGTGCCCAGCCTTACCTCCTGCTAAGACTGACATTCAAAGCTGCTGTTCCTGGTGGTCTCAGGCACACAGAAGCAATTGGCCTTCTCAATCAACAATTCCATATTAGAGGGCTTTCAAGTCAACTTAGACTGCAGCCTGTCTGGTTCTGGGGCTGCCAGCTGGAGCAAGAGCTTCCTAGTTGCACAGATTTCTTTCTAATTGTGGCAAGATCAACAGTTCTATTTGGCAGCCCAGGTTTTTTGTATGACTTTGGAAGACACCCTGCAAGAGGAGCCTAGAGTCCGTTTCTTCATCTCTCTAAATGATTCTGTAATGATTTCTGTTTAAACTGGCTAGAGAGAATTATGTTCATTGTATCTAAACCATGACCTCCTCAGAAGTATTTGTTTTGTTAAAAAAAATGTTATGAGAGGCCTCAATATGCAACATAGATAAAAGCAGTGTGGCTCTGTTTGTGGTATGTGGAGGGGGTGGGAGCAGTGAAGTGAAGGGGAAGATCTGGGAGCCCAACTCCCATGTTCCCTAATTTTTCATTCCACCATCCAGGATGGTCCCTGAGGCACCTCTGAGGAACTGAACTCCAAGACTCCCAAGCCACTATTTGAAAGTCAATTAACACATTCACTATTAATTATTAAACACACACATCAAATTGTAGCAATCATGTAAACAAGGTATGGTGTTCTCTAGGTGTGTCTGTGCACCCACGAGTTATATGCCAGAAGGAGATAAAACTTTTCAAAAGCCTCACACAGAAATATAGGTGTTGGTCTGAAGCTTCCAGCCTAGACTGAGATGACTATCAGCATGGCGTGCAGGTCGGGCTGGATGGGCCCTGTGTCTTGCCCATCCCACACATGCATGCAATTCCTGTTAGATCTGTGGCTTGAATGCTCTTTGGAGATCCTTGCATTGTTTAAGGTCCCACTGCTCCAAGCAGCTTCTGCTCAGACCGATGGCTTCTGCTAACCCCTGGTCCCCTCTCTCACAGCTGGACTTCAGACCAAGGTGACAGGTTAATTCCTCTGTGTATTTACAGCTATGATTTGACTTGGTTTGGGGCATTGATTTTGCTAATGTCCTTGCTTTGGACAACTGCCTCCTTTCTATGCCTCGCTGAGAGCCCCAGCAAGCCCAACTGGCCCCTCATTCGCATCAGCACAGGTGGGGCTCCTAGCAGATGCCGCGGGTTCTAACTCCCTGTATCTCAGCAGAGGCTGCAGTGGGTGGGCATGCTCCGTCAAGTGTGCACTTTCACCCTGCACTGAACTTGAATGCCTATTTTTTCTTAATGTCTTATAAGGAATCCTGAACATCCCTCTCCATCTCTTTTTCTCCTTGGAGCCATCCTAGGCAGCCTGCTTCCTCTCTGCAGACCCCTGCCCTAGGCCCTCTTAGTCTAAATTGTGAGCCCCAGAAAAGTTTCTGTAACCTACAAGATGCTCATCTCCAAGAGGAGGCCATACGCCACTCTGTGCCAACCTGGCCAGACAGCTTATGTACGACTGTGGTCAAGTCCCTGGACTTACCATGTCTCAAGTTCCTGGGTTTGGAATATGCGGGGCCTAAGGTTTCTCTCTGCTTTGAGAGGATATAGCTCTAATGAGTACATGCTTCTAGGACATGACAGCCATGTAGGAGGCATTTCTTCACATGCCCTAGAGAGGTGATTGTTCTGATTCTCTAAAATAGACTTCACAGTTTAAGGGCATCTGAACCATGGAAAAGAAAGATGTTTTGTACCTGAAAAGTTACTTGTTGGTCCCAGTTGGGGATGTTTACACCAGAATTTTGAAATATGCCCATTAATTAACTGATATGTGTGGACTTACCATGTATAAGTCCCTATGTTTAGTATTGAGTGGCTTCTGAGAAACAGAAGGGAATTATTTTGCTCCTGGATGAAAAGTGTGAAACAGAAGGTAGGTGCAAGGCAATTTGACATTTAAAAAGAGAGAGGTGGAGAGAGATACAAGATGGCTGATTACTAGCAGCCCAGGATTGTAGCTCCCAGTGAAAGCGCAGAGAACGAGAGGACCCCATACTTTCAGACGAATTTTTGTTGCTCACGGACCAGGAGATTCCCTGCAGAGGAGCCCCACGGGTCGCCAGTGCGACTCTTGTGGCGGTTTTGCTGGCACCCTGGTGCAGTGGTTCTTGGTGCAGAGTAAACGGGACTGGGTCCCCTTTTGGTCGACGTTTGAAGCTCCGGGAAGGCAGAGTCGCCTATTCAGCTGATTGAAAAGGGGACTCAAGAAGGAAGCCAGACCGGAGATTCCCCGGCAGAAAAGCACCACGAATCTTAACGCGGCTGTTTTGGCCAGTGCAATGGGTTGCTCAGATTCCGGTGCTGGGAATCAACAAGTTGGACATCCACTCAGAGACCTAATTTGAAAGTCGGTGATTACACAGATGACAGGTGGATAAATTTACAATGATGGGAAGAAACCAGCATAAAAAGGTTGAGAAAACCCAAAATCAGAATGCCTCTCCCTCCACAGGGGATCACAGTTCCTCATCAACAAGGGAACAAGGCCTGATGGAGAACGAGTGCGTTCCATTAACAGATTTAGGCTTCAGAAGGTGGATAATAAGAAACTTCTGTGAGTTAAAAGAACATGTTCTAGCCCAATGTAAAGAAACTAAGAACCTTGAAAAAAGGTTTGATGAAATCCTAATGAGAATAGACAATCTAGTGAGGAATATAAGTGAATTAATGGAACTGAAGAATACAATACGAGAACGCCTTGAAGTATGCACAGGTTTTAATAGTCGAATTGATCAAACAGAAGAAAGGATATCAGAGGTCGAAGACTAACTTAATGAAATGAAATGAGAAGACAAGATTAGAAAAGAAAGAGTACAAAGGAATGAGCAAAGTCTCCAAGAAATATGGGACTATGTGAAAAGATCTAATTTACGTTTGATAGGCGTACCTGAATGTCGTGAACAGAATGAATCCAAGCTGGAAAATATTCTTCAGGATATTATTCAGGAAAACTTTCCTAACCTAGTAAGGCAGGAAAATACTCAACTTCAGGTAATACAGAGAACACCACAAAGATATTCCTCAAGTAGAGCAACCCCAAGACGCATAATCGTTAGATTCACCAGGGTTGAAATAAAGGAGAAAATTCTAAGGGCAGCTAGAGAGAGGTCAGGTTACCCATAAAGGGAAGCCTATCAGACTCAAAGCAGATCTCTCAGCTGAAACCCTACAAACTAGAAGAGAGTGGGGGTCAATATTCAATATCCTCAAAGAAAAAAATTTTCAACCCAGAATCTCATATCCAGCCAAATTAAGCTTCATAAATGAAGGAAAAATAAAATTTTTCACGAACAAGCAAGCACTCAGAGATTTCATCAACACCGGGCCTGCTTTACAAGAGCTTCTGAAAGAAGCACTATACACAGAAAGGGGCAACCAGTATCAGTCATCCCAAAAACTTACCAAAAGGTAGAGTATCTCCATGATGAAGAATCTATATCAACTAATGGGCAAAATAGCCAGCTAGCATTAAACAACAATATTAAACTCACAAATATCAATATTAATCCTAAATTTAAATGGATTAAATGCCCCAATCAAAGACACAGACAGGCAAATTGAATAAAAAGTCAAAACCCATCAGTTCGCTGTATCCAGATCCATTTCATAAGCAAGGACACACAAAGACTCAAAACAAAGGGTTGGTGGAAGACTTGCCAATCAAAGGAAGAGAAAAAAAAAAAAAAAAAAGAAAAGAAAAATAACAGGAGTTGTAACTTTTGTCTCTGACAAAATAGACTTTAATAGTAACAAAGACTAAAAGAAACTAAGGACACTACATAATGGTAAAAGGACCAATGCAACAACAGGAGTCAATGATCATAAATATATATGCACGCAATATAGAAACACCCAGATACATAAGACAAGTTCTTAACGACTTATAAAGAGACTTGGACTCCCACACAATAATAGCAGGAGACTTTGACACCACATTGTTAATATTCGATGGATCAGTGAGATAGAAAATTAACAGGGACATCTATGATTTGAACTCAGACCTGGAACAAGTAAACTCAGTGAATATTTATAGACTTCACCCCAGGTCCACAGAACATACATTTTTCTCAGTATCATATTACACCTATTTTGAAAGTGACCACATAATTGGAAGTAAATCACTCTTCAGCACTTGCATAGCATTTCACAGACTTAAATGAAATATTGGTTGGCTGTTTGTTTGTTATCTTCTTCCCTTATTCCTTCCTGTCTCCGCTGTTAAGCACAATTATCGGCATAAAAGAGGTTTTTAATACCTATTTTTAGATTGCATTCCAGCCTGGGCAATAGAGCAAGAATCCTATTTTCTCTCCCCTTTTCTCTTTCTCTTTCTTTCCAAAAAAAAAAAAAAGAGAGAGCGAGAGAGAGGTGCCCATATTCTATTAAAACAGGTAGAAGTCCATGTTGTGAATGAGGAATTGGAATCTTGAAGTAAGTGAAAAAGACGTCAAGACATTTAAAAAATAAAGGCATTAGAACAATAGTTAATTAATGTATTTCAAAGTATTTTATGCATTTTAAAGCACACATCTAATGTATACATTTAACGCATTTAATTTGAAATGAATTTAATATAAAATGTTTCAATTATTTTAAAGCAAGTATAATAAAAGAGAAAAGCAAAATTATTCTATGTATTAGACACTATGCTATAGCAATAAAATTTATTTTAATCATATATTTTTGCTAATATGTTTTCACACATAAAATATGAGCTATTAAATTATTTTCTCCTTTTTAGCCATCCAGTTGGTGCACAAAATTGTAAGCACTACAAACATTAAATCACATTCTTACACATGCAATTTCACTCTTCTTTGGTTTTCAGTAATATCTACCACATCTATTTGAAACAGTCTCTGCTTTAAACTTTTGTAGAACATTCACGTTGCTCCCGTGTGTTCTAACCAGGCTTCCAAACTGATGGTTTCACAGTCACTCAGTGGTTTTTTTGGATAGCTAGTATTTTTGAGATCATCAAGAAGGCTCCCAGTGCTGGGCTCCCTTTAGGGAGAAAGACATGTGTCTTTCAACGTTGAAAGAGGCGGATGTTCAATGGAGGAATATCTTTTGCCCTCTGGATACACTTCTCCAATATGCTTTTCTACGTGTGCAAACATCCTCAAATCAAAGCTGCTGTCCTCCCTAGATCTGCTTCCCATCTCTGCTCTGTAGCTTCCAATAGTCCACTGCTAAATAACTGATCTAAGTAATCATTAATAATGTTGATAAAAATAGTCATGGCAACACTGACAGACTGCTGAGTCTGTGCCAGGAACCATTGTAAGTACTTATATTTATTCATTTAGTACCCTTGGGAGATAGGTCCAATTATCATAAATTCAAATTTTACAGATGAGGAAACTGAGGCACAGAGAGATTGGATAAGGTTCCAGAGGTCGCAAAAGTAAACAGCAAACTCAGGATTGGAGCTCCTGATGGACTCCACAGTCCGTCTCTTAACAGCCACACCATGCTGCCTTCATGCTAGGGGCATTTTAAATATGTAACTTTTAAAAACCAAGCAAGTAACTATCAGGGTTTTTTTGTTTGTTTGTTTGTTTGTTTGTTTTGCTATTCAATGGCTAATACAATCTGGCAAACATTTTGATATAAACATTCACACAAAATCAACAAACGTTTCAAACCATCAAAAGTGAAAGACCCAGATAATTCTCTAAATTAGAATTTGTGTCTCTTGTGAAAGATAAAAAGGTATTCGGGGGTCCTTTTAAGAAGTTCCCAAAAATAGATCCTCATAAGCAGGCTCTGCATTGCAGGGCCTTACTGGGCTCTCAAGAACCACTGGCTGCAACTGTGGCTGGGATACATTAAATGCATCCTGAGGCTGAGGCCCTGCCAGCCCCTCCTCCCACATCCCATGCACAACCAGATCCACGGTGTTAGGGAGTGAAAGCAGCATTTCAGTTACTCTGTCACCCACTGGTCCCTAGAAAGTGCCTCTTCGTGTGCTTAAAATCCCCTCATTTAATCACTGGGATTAAAACTCTTGGAGATGCGCCCTTTTTGTAAGGCATAGGTTATTTTGCATCATGCCCAGCTTCACACTTGCTGAATATGGGATTAAGTATGAGCAGCTGCACCCAGTTATGGAAGAGGGAGAAAAAGAAAAGCTCCATTTCTTTTGAATTCCAGGTCTTCTGGGAGCACATGGCCACAGCCCACAGCTCAACCTTTAGTCTTATTCCCGACAAGTTTCCTCTTCAAATTGTGAGCAGGATTTTTACAGTTAAATATTTAGAGTCACAGCCTTTGTAACAAACAGGTTCATATGCTGAGTCCCCAGAATATCTCAAGTTCTTTTTGGCATTCAGCGTTTCTGAAGATTAAGACTCTGAAAGAACAGGCAAGACTTCCAATTCCTCTCTACCTGGCTTGACTGTTTTTGCAGGCATTAAGTAAAGAAGATTCTTCCAGAACCTTGAGTTATAAGAAAGAGAATGTTTAGCCTTCCACTTCAGAACTCTGTGAGATTTCAAAAGCTTTAGTGATTGGGGCAAGAATGTGAAGTCAGTAATAGGTGCAAATTCAATTAAGATTATTTTAATTTTTCTTTCCACCAATGCTTCATGGAGTCCACTTTCAAGTTCATACCTGACCTCATTAGACATATAACTTTTACTTAGGACAATGATTAGTCTTCGGCTTTTCTCTATCAGTGAGTGGATTTCATCAACAACAGCTGAAAGTGCAAAATGTGCCATATTAATTTAAGATAACTGAAAGGGGCAGCATAAGATAAAAATCATTTTGCACAGTACTATTTTATATTATTTAACTGTTAATCTCATTAAATTTTTCTTTAAGACCAGCCATTTGTCCTCAATTTTATATGCTTCTTTAAAAAAATCTTTAGGTAACAATAATAATGAACACCTACTTAGCACTTATTATGTACCATACCTTGTTTTAAATGTTTTTTGTATATTATCTCATTTAATCATCATAATATCCTGCAGAGAAGATATTGTTATCACTGCCATTTAACAGACATGGTAGCCAGACCACAGAGTGGTTAAGTAACCTGCCCAGAGTCACACAGTAGTAAATGACAGAACAAGAATCTGAACCCAAGTGGAATACATTTTCCTAACTGTTATACTATCCTGTTTGTCCTCAAGCATAAAATAGCAGGCTAAAATCAGCATTTAAAAATTAAAAGACAAAAAGGCACAACAAAACAAAATCATCCATTATTTTAGACTGGGGCTTGGCAAACTTTTCTACAAAGGGCCAGATAGTAAATATGTTAGGTTTTGCAGGTCACACTGTCTTTGCCACAACTACTCGATTCTGCTGTCGTAACTCAAATACAGAGACAGGCAATGCGTAAACCCATGTGTGTGGCTGTGTTTCAATTGGCTGCAAGTGTGATGGAGCCATGGCTGGTAAACTGCCAACCCCTGTTCTAGGCCTCTTACTGTTCTCAAATAGAGGTTTAACCAAACCTAATTACAACTGAATATTCAAACATAATTTTTATTTATGAATTAAGAATAAATCTATTTTCAAGAAAGACCCCTAGAAAATAACAGCAATATGGTAAAATTGATGTATGGCCCAGAATAAATGCTTTCTAAGTAACAATATGCCTTCTTAAATGCACAAAAAAAACACTACCCAAAAATACCACAATGTATGCATCTGATAATCTCGCATATTATTTTTTGACAAGTTGTTTATTACTAAACAGTAGTGTAAGTTAGCAACATTTTCCCTTCTAATTTGGAATATTGGGGAGAAATGTAACTATTTCTTTCTCACTGCTATATCTTTGATGCCCAGTTCGGAACTCGGCACAGGGATGGTTTCCGATTAATATTAGATTAATAAATGAATGATGGTGACAATAAAACATTTGTTTTTTCAAGCAACAACATCCAGAATAATCTGACACCAGATTTTAAATGTTTGTTCTGGAAGGCTTCAAAGAAAATCTAAAAATGTTACTCATTTTTAGAAATTTTAACCGTAATTTGCTTTAATATGTGCACTATGGCCATTTGTATTCCTATATTCATAAAAAACATTGAATTTCATAGCTATGACCTGATGGTGATCACCACTTCCTTCTTATTTTTCCATTTTTAATTTTCCTATTTTCTACTTAAATTTCATAACCAATAACACAATAAAAATCATGCATTTTCTAGTAATAGTTAACCTGTGTTTATTTGTAGTAAGAATTACTAGTAAGAATTAACTAGTCCACACATCACGTGTTAAATTAGGAACTGCTGTTGCAGTATAGACATTCTTACTGTGGGTCGTTTCTGGATAAATGCTTCATGATAACACCAGCTCTGGGCCTGGTTCTGAAAAGGAGATGCCCTCTTCCTTTCCCCAAATTTTCAGAGAACCATGAAACACAAAGAACAGAGCCCAAGAGAAAAGACTGCTGGAAGCAGAGTAGTTTGTTTTCTGACTATCGATTGTTGACTTACCTGGTTATTTCTGGCTTAAGGACTTTATTCATTTGTTTTTAAGAAAAATGGGATAGCTATCTGAGGGCTAGCTTATTCACTTTTTAAAAAGGAACTATCTTGAATATTTTTCTGTCTGGCATTCCCTCTTACCTCCTCCAGGCACTACGTCCCTTTCAAATATGCATAACTTATACCCAAAATGTTTCTCCAACACTCTGGGCAAAATCTCCACAGCAAAGGTGTGCTCCTCTCCATTTTCAGGTCGGCATTCTTTTAGGTAAGACACAAAAGCATCATACGTTTTTCCATCTAGGAGGTAAGATTGACACTTTTAATTCATTTGTAAATATAATTTTGTTTAAATAAAAATATAAGTGAATGCCATAGATAATGCGTATAGAATCATCAACAAAGAAAAATTAAATATAAAGTTGTTTATATTTAAATCTCCCGTGCTAACCAAGCAAGCAATTAGCCAATGTGTTTTTAAGCAACTACTTTAAGATCCCACTGCTTGACACCATAGAGGAATAGAGAAACACATGGGCCATAGATCCAGGCAATAAAGGAACTTAAATCTTCCCGTTCCTTAGAAATCCAAGAGCCCAAATGTGTCCTCGTTCCAGGAGTGAAAAGCAAATCTCACCCTGGTTTACTTGTGTCACTTAATTCTACCACCATCCCAATCTCTTAACTCAAAAAGACCCCCAAGAAGGTGAAGAGGGAAGCAGAGCAGTTTACACTGTAATGTGGGAAAAAACTAGAGGTGAATGAAACAATATGCTATAGGAACACATGCTGTGATATTTTTAAATATTATAGAATATAGATGTCAAAAGGAAAACTTCTGATGCATTGATGATTTTCACTGATGATAACATCTCCTCTCATTTAATTTCTGATCATGGAACAGTACTCAGATGACTAACAGAACAAATTCAGTAGGAAATGTCTTTCCTAAATAACAAAGACCATGCTCCTAACTGGGTAATTAAAACATGATACCACTCTCTCTTTTAGCTTCATCCAATCTATTTGAAAAAGCAAAGCAGACCCATGCAACAACTTGAGAAAAGTTACGGGCAACACATTAGCAGAAGAACAATGGCATAACAAACAAACAAACAAACAAAACTAACAAAACTCACAGACAAAATAACCTGGCCAGAGAATAAAGAGTGATCCCAATGGACATGCTTTCTGAAAGGAGGAAATTTTGAGCCAGTCCTAAAAAATGCTGATTGGGATCTGTAGAGAAAGAAGGAAAGCAGTGGGCAATGGTCTGTCTTTATCCTATGACGATTGTTTTGACCGGAGAGGGGTAAGATTTATGCATGGTATATTATCGGGATTAATGAATTTGCTACTGAGTTACAGCCTACATATGATCGCATCCCCTGTTAAAATCTAATAGGATAAATCCACTCCATATCTACATCTCTTATGGTGCCACATCATTTATGCTCAACAGCCCAGCCCGACATCCTCCACAGCACTTAGGCTCACCAAATGACCCTTTCTGCTTCTGGTAAAAGCTTCCTCAGTTCGACCTACAGCATTCTGTTCAACAGTTTGGGTTAGGACCTATTGTTGATTTAAAGCAATTGCTTTGCAGAACTGCATGTTTTGAAAGATGAAAAATTTTGGTAAAAATTTTAGGCTTACATAAACATCAAAGGTACAAAATGTTGGTAAAAATAAAACCAGTTATCAATCAGTAAGCAGGTCCTCTCCATACTTTTCTTAAAGTGCTATGAAATATAACTACTTACTAGTTAAGTAAGAGCTAGTGCTTTCACTAGGATTGTCACTGTGTCAGTGACAAAACAGACACTAACACGGAGGACAATTAAATGAGCACGCGTTTTTAAAAGGCATATTTTTCTTGTGATGTAACAAATTGCAAAAAAACTGGGAAGACAATGTCATCAAATGTGGGTTTATAGTACCTGTAATATAGCTTTTCTCTTACCTATGAAAAATTAGCTAATCAGCTATTAATTGCTTTCAAATTTCTTATTTTAAGCAATTCTTTTAATATAAATCTGCTAATTTATATTATGATTTATTTTAAATCCAGGTACTAAAAAGTTTAGTGGATTTGAGAATAGACTAAATTTAGTGGATTTGAGAATAAAGTGTTCAAAAGAAAAGGAATTTGAAAGCTAATGGTAATTTTTTTATTCTTTATATTCAAACACAAAGGGAAATTATAAAGGAAATTATAATTCAAATGGATATTTAGGACTTCTAGGAGTAAATTAAAGTTTCTCAAACTATGCATGGTAAATGGCCACGTTTTAATTTAAATCTGCCTTTTTTGTTGTTGATTGATTAGTTTCATTTCCAGTCCCTCACAAACCAATACTGAACACTTTCTTAGATACTGAAGCAGTATCTAATTGTTACAAAAGTTTTTAGTTTCAGACTTATGTCTTCATTTCTGTCCTTTTCATGGACTGCATTTGTTCATGGACCATAATTTAATGAAAGTGATTTAGAGCACGTCTCTAAATGTCTCTGTGCACTACCATATTGACAGTTAAGAAGCGTGAATTGAAAAAATTACCTGGAAATTATGTCAAACACAACTGGAGAGGAGAAAAAGAAATCTTAGCTCCAGAAGGTCAGAAAGAGAGGACCTAGTCAATGTCTATTTGAAGACAAACACTGGTCTATGCAAACACAGACCTTTCAGAATAGATTAAATACAGATTTCCCAGTTTGTTGCGGCCTCCTTTCACCCCATAGCAAAATCACGCACGTACGTGCAGGCTCAAAGCTAAATTCACTGACCATGCTAATTTTATGTTGTTCAATTTAAAGTCCCAAATGTGAAAACTAAACCTATAAAAATGTCAGAAGAACTAATGTAATTTCTGTATAACTTGAGGTTAGAAAGGCTGTTTTACTTATGAGCCCAAATCCAGAAAGCATAAAAGATATATCTGAGTATGTTTTTCAAAAAATCTTTTATATGGCACACCACTATAAGCAAAGTCAAAAGACAATTTACAGCCTGGGAATATTTGCATTTCATATTATAGTTAATAGGCTAAACTCCCTAAAATATAAATAACCCCTAGAAATAAATATACAAATTAAAGCCTTCACCTCCTGGAACAATAGGGAAAGGATATGAATGGATGTGTTGAGAAAGGAAACACAACTGAGCCTTATGCAAATTAAAAGTTGCTCATACTCTGGCATAGTAAAGGAAATGCAAATTAAAATGTCACTTAGATACAACTTTTCACCTATCAGATTGGCACAACTCCAAATGGTTGTGGGTAAGGTTATGAGAAAAAAAAATGCCGTCACCCTTTGAAGGCGGTAGGCAGGATGAACTGACAGTATCTATCAAAATAACAGCCATGTCTCCCCCTTGTATTCCATTTTGGGGAATTTTTCCTTGAGACATGCTGCATACATATGAAACAATAAAGCTGTCCATGACAGCATTTTTGTAATAACAAAAGATTGGAAGCAAGCCAAATGTCTATCAAAAGGAGGCTAAATAAACAGTGGTACTTCTACACAAATAAAATACTGCACAGCCCTAAAAATGAGGGACTTCTTTAAAGTAACATACAAGTGTGTCTAAGGTATAAGAGAGCAACTTTAAAAAGAGTATGCATATTAAGGCAAGATTTGTGTTCTTTAAAAGAAGGAGTGGAATAAGAATCCATATTTACATTAACAATGAAGGGGGAAGGTGGGAATCACAGATGTGGGACCAGGCCGGAAAGGAGACTTCCTGCTATATAATTTCATAGACATTTTTGAAGTTTTTTTTTTCCTGCAAGCACACACATGCAAAAACAAAATCAAGTGCAATGAATTAGACTGACTTCCTTTCGATTAGTAATTATCTGGAAACCTGAGGACTTCTAGTCACCTTTAAATATAAAGAAACTGAGGCATAGAGCTAGTGGGTCAACATAGCAGCAGATAAAAACTGGCAGATCTAGAAGACCAGAACCCAAATCATTTGGCTTCCAGCTGGGGGTTCTGACACATCCATTATGTAAGCCTCCTTTGCCAGGTTGAAATAATGAGCGATAGGGCAATTCAATCCAACTTAAAGCAACTTTATTGTCTATTATAAAGGTACCGAGGTGATCCGTGCACAGGGACATTCAGATACACAGTTTCTGGGCTCAAGCATCTCCTAGGGCATTTAGGAGGCTATGACATACATTATACAAGACAATCAGGACAATTTGGGGCAACACATAAGTAAGCACAAAAAAAGATGACACAAACAACATTTATTATGGAGGGCACAGGCAGAGCAATATTTCCCAGAGAAAACCTCTCCCACAGATTAGTTCTATAACATCATAGCAATGTGATTTATAGATTTATGTCTAAGATTTATGTCTATTTATTTGATTTCTTACTGAGAGTGTAAGATAAGAAATCCCAGAATTACGTGTGTTACCTGTTAATGTTTCATCTCTTCTCATTAAATGTCTATAAAATAGAACCAAGTCAACTCTATAAATGACGCACACAGTCACTAGGCACACTACTGCCACCAAGGCCAAAACAGCTATGATCATTCCTCTTGTAAAGATGTGGCCTGGGATATCAGCCATGGCTTCTAAAAAAAAAGAGAAAAAGGGAAAGAAAATAATCAAGAAATCTTACCAGTGTCACCCATCATCACATGCTTGTACATTTTTACTGTTAACTTTAATGCAGTAGTTGCCTAGCCAAGTGCTGACACATTCTGCTGAGTGACTCCACATTCCTGCCTTTAGTCTAGAGTAGTGGTAATTCTACTCAAGTTTTTAAAGAAAAAAATGTGCACAAGAATATTTAGAGACCTGAAGTGAAAACATTATACAATAATGTATTCTATCCGTACCAGTGTAAATCAGATTTCTCAGGCGAAGAGATACTAAGCTGAAATACATAGGGATTCACAAAAATCTTAGCAAGTGAGTTGAGAACATATATAGAAGTGAATAGTTTTGAGAGAAGAGAGAGAGAGAGTACTGGATTGACATTTGTCTGGGTTTACAGCCGGGCTCCATCAATTATTTTGTATTGTAGGAAAAATTGTGGATGCCCCTAAACCTTAGTACCTTCATCTATAAAATGAAGATTCTAACAGTTCCTGCTTCACTTCTAAGGCTGCTCCTTTGGGGAAGATTAAATGAAATATTACACAAAATGTAGTTAATATAGCACACAGCTCTTGGAATTTTAGCAAGTTCTTTGTATAAAAGTGCCACTTGGAAAAAAAGTTACATTTTTTAGACTGATTCCATTTATACTCATTATGGACAATACAAGATAACACAGATGAATAAAAACAATCAAGAAATTTTTAACAACCATCCACAATATGGTGAAGGCTGTGTCAACATGACAGAATATTTCCTTCTGGGTTTTCTTTTTGTCTCTTAAAGTTTTTACTTAATTGAGATCATATGGTAATCTCTCATTATTTCTGAATATTATGAGCATTTCCATAGGTCATTAAAATTATAATTCATAATATCCTAAAATGTAGATTGATTGGAATTTGTAGTAAGTATACATAAAGTTGCAGTACATTTTATATGTATAATATAAATGTATACATGTATATTTATATTAATGTATATGCATGCATGTATACGCATATACATTTGCATGTGTATATATATACATATATGCATGTGTATATGTATATACATATACAAAAATGCATATACCTTTATCCATATTTCTAATTCTTTTCTTAAAATAGATTGTAATGGTGGGGGCATCTCTAGGTCAATAAGTATAAACGTCCTTAAAACTTTTGCCATCTTGGTACAATGTTCAGAAGTTATCTTTCTGTATCTTTCCACTTTGGATTCAGGTAAGCCGTTAATGTTGCTTAGTAAGTGAACTCTGGACAGAGCCAGGGTCTGGAGCTCCTGTATCTTTGAAAGGACGGCAGAGTTATAACTGTGTCACACTTTTACGCAGACAAACACACACACATTGGCAAGCAATTCCTCCCGGGGTAATGGTGGATTGTGAGCTCCAATTCCTAAGTCTACATTTGTGAGAGCAGCAGCAGGAGAACTGACAGGTTAGAAGTGTCTAGGGCAGGAATAGGACACTCCTGCCCTGCTCTAAGAGGGGAGAGGTGGCTGGTGGTAAGCAGGCCCCAGGAAAGCCTGCCCAGGCAATGGTCCAACAAAAACAATATTTGAGCCCCCCCTCCCTCAAGAGTGAGTGGACCATAGTGAAGGCATTCACACAGGGGTGGAACACCACCTGCGACAAACCTTGTGGAAGGTAAGAACACAGATTCCAGTTCAGTTTCAATACCTTTACCTGCCGTGTGACCTTGGGTAGGTTTCTTCACCTCTATAAAGCTGTCGTTAAGACTAGATGAGATCATGGGAGGAGGTCCATCAGATCCTGTCATGTAATGACCATGTATGGATTGTGAGCTGTTGTTATGAGTGCATGTGGCTCTAAAACATGTGTGCTAAGAAGCTGCTCCCAGGCACCAGGATAGCCCAGCTGGAGGGGGTTTCTAGCCTTTGTGCTCGTCCTGTCCTACTCCTTCCATTTGTCACAAAGCCAAGGCCCAGTCTATGTGTGTGGCTCTCTCTGCATGTCTGTGTGTATCTGCTGTGTATCTCTCTCTCCATTACTCTGTCTGTTTACTCTCATTTCTTTGTCTCTGCATCTCTTCGTGTCTCTGTCTTTCTATCTCCCCCTCTCTCTGTTCCTCTAGATGTGTCTCTTCTTGTCTCTCTTATTTCTCTGTCTCTCTGTGTCTCCATCTCTCTCTCTCTCTCTATCTCTGTCTTCATCTCTTCAGAGTTGTCTGTTTGTCCCTCTGTCTCATATATCTCTGTCTCCTCTCTCTGTGTCTGTCTTTCCCTCTTTCTCTCTGTCTCTGAAGGCATTAGTCTCCGTCTCTCTCCCTTTCTCTCTCTTGCAGATCTTGACCTTTCCCTACATTTCCAGGGAGTTGATGGTGGAGCCTGGGAATGAAGAGTGAATGAGTAGTGACAGCTGGAAACCACAGCTTTCTGGCTCCAGTGACAGCCATTTCTGAGCAGCTACTGGGCTGAAGGCCCTGGGCTGTGTTACTGTGGTAGAGGAAGGGGATGGTGACTCTGGGGCCCTCCATCAGTTGGGCACTGAAAAACTTTAAGAGCCCACAGATCAAGGCTATCAATGGTCTGCTTGCCAAGTCCAGGATCTGACCCAGGATAGGGGCATAGTCAATCCTTGTTGAATGAATGTGCACACACAAAGCCCCTGAGCCTGGTGCCCTGCTGAGGTTGGCTGGAGCAGCAGTCACACAGAGCATATGCTGGCCTCATCCCACACAGATCTGCAAACTCCCCTCTGGCTGCTCTGGGTGCAGTGCTGGGTGCAGTGCTAGGTGCAGGGGCTGTCCTGATGGCCTCCCCAGGAAGCTCACTCAGCATCTGCATGCCCAAGCTTCAACTGCTGTCCTGCTCGGGCCCTCCAATTTCCACATAAGGTAGAATATGACTGTGAGAGCAAGTGAATGAGTTTGTGTTTTCAATCCCTGCTTGGCGTCATGAGACAGAGGAGCTCCGCAGAGCTGAGCACCAGCCCTGCCACTGAATGCCTATGACACAAGGTGGCTGATTTCCCCTCCCAGGAGTTGGGTTCTAACATGGAAAATGAGGATGTGATCACCTTTGAGAGCTCTCTCAGCAGCAATGAGCTAAGTTTCCACGAACTTCCAAAAATAAATCTTTCTCACCTTTTCTCACCAAGATGAAGCTTTTGGTGTCTGTGCCTCCTGTGCTGGTCACAGTGCAATTATATGCAAAATTTAGATTGTGTTCAGCAACATTTTCAATTCTCAATGCTTTTGAAGCATGCCATCTCCCTTCTGAAGTCCTGTAAGAAAAGAAAATAGTTTAGCAGTAGGCTTTGTTCTTTGCCCATGAGAGGGGAATTCATACGTTTAAAATGCTCAAAGGCAGCTGCAATGTTGCCCGCATGATTTCCTCCCTTTCTGGTCAGTACTTTTAAAGCACGGACTACAATAAACCCTGCCTCGTCTATGGAACATCAGAACTGACAAAAACAGCCCTCATGAGGCCATTTGGGGACTGTGCTCATCATCAACTACCTGGCTGATGATGAGATATGCTGGCAGGGCATCCACAAAGTTCAGCTGAATTCAACATGTATTGGGCACAAATCACATGCCTGCTCCTAGGCAACAAGCCAGACTTTATGGCGTAAAGAGCTTGTAGACAAGTGTCAGCAAGAATGTAGAGCTGCCAGCATGGTAACAAAGAATGTACTAAAAAAATGTGTAAAAAGCAGAAAAAAAAACTCAACAAGTGTAGCTAAGGTGCTAGACAACTTAGGCTGAGTCGTGTATCAATACAATAATGAATAATTACAGTATGACCCAAAGTCATTCAGAAAAGCATAAGTGACTATATGTTTCAACTGTTTCTTTTAATAAGTCTGACCGTTCCTTAATGCAAGAATATAGGCTATTTAAGTATCAATATGCATACAATTTGGAACCTTTCTGGCATATTAGAAAAATAAACAATGTAACAAATTTTTCAAAAAAGAAATAAACCATGGCCTAGGTAACTGCCCTTTTCTAAGAAGGTAGGTAAAATCCCCACCTCTATCAGATCCTGACTGACCAAATGCTACTTTATAAGATGATGCTAATACCCTCACTGGCCTTCTTATGGACCTTCTTTTCCAGCTTAGATCTTGGCAATGCATTTCTACATAATCCAACCACCTAGGGTATGGCCATCATAATTATAAAATATGCACATTACAATTATAATTTATACTAGCCCAATATACATCAGCCACCCAGTGTTTTTAATATGATGTTATATATAATATGATTGTTATATGGTATATATCATGACATACATATTACATATACATACATAATTCTTATTTCTTTCTCTTCATGTACATTAAGATCCGATCCATTGTCATACATCCAATAAAGTATATCCTTTTGATTCAGCAAAGCAGAGCAGTTGAGGCTTACATCTTTTCCTGGTAAAAGTTGGCAACTAAAGTTCTGATTTTAGAAACTCAGGTTTCTCAAAAGTTTCAAAACAATATGATAAATGTATGTTAACCTAATGCAAATCATGATGCTGCATCCCAGAAAGAGAATAAATATGCCTTGTTTTAAATTAAAAGAATACATAAAGCAGAAGAATTAGGTAGCAATTACAAGCCATCACTAAAATATGATTTGGCTTCTTTTTGAACATTTTTTTAAATCGACTAAGGCGATCAGTGTATTTTCTTTTCAGTACACAGTTTAGTAGGTAGTAGCCTCAGGACAATACTCTCACTGAGACTTCTTGATAAACCAAATTGACAAATCCAAAAAAAGTTAAATTAAACAAACATTAAAGACATCAAAGTGCAGAGAAAATAAAGAGAAACTTTTGTACTAAAAATGTGCTTGGGAAGGATCCCTTCCAGGGTGAGCTAAGAGAGGTAGCCATTTCATTCCACGGAGGAATTTGCTTTGGTTTGGAATAAACAGAAAGAGTCTCATAGGGACAAGAACATCCAGTGAGGCTCTCAGAAGCTGCACAGGCTTGCAGAATTACTGCTAAGTGCTCAGACAGTGTAATAGGCTGTATAGGCTGCATGGTATCACTTGCAGTTTCATGGTAATCGGGAGAGCAAGTCCTATCAGAGAAAATGGCTGCAACAAACACATGACTGCAGCAACCCCTCTCCCCACAGCTATCAGAGATGAAGGCAGATTGGATCTAACATACCTACATTCCAGCCACCCCAACTCAGTTCTGAGTCAACTGAGGTACTCAAACTCTCATACTACCTACTTGTAAGAAAAAATAACACAAACTGTATTCACTTTAATTGTTTGATACACAAAGATCAACAATAAAAAGTTAAGAGACACACAAAGAGACAGAAAATATGCATGATAATCAATAGAAAAGATAGATAATAGAAGCAGACCTACAGATGCAGAATTTAGCAGATAAAAACTATAAATAACTGTTTGAAAGAAAATAGAGAAAAAGATGAACAAGTGGATGGAAATATGGTCATTTTCAACAAAGTGTAATTTATTTTAAAAAGAATAAAATGAATATTTTTATATCATGGATACATGATATACCAACTATAACAGTAATTTTAAATATACAGATGGACTAAACATCATGCTAACCAGATTTCAAGAAAGATCCAAATACATACAGTTTATGAGAGACACTTATGTATAGAACAAAAAAAAAGTTAGTAGTAAAGGGATGTAAAAAAAGACAAATATGCCAATTCCAAGCCAAAAAAAAGAAAAAAAAAATAGTGGCTATTTCATATGACAGAGCAATGCATTGAGAAAGGAAATATTATGATAGAGAGATATTTCATAAGGATAAAAGTGTCAATCCAACAAGCATAAATCTGTGTATGCATATAAGATAGCTCCAATGTATATAAAACAAAAATTTACAGAACAAAAGGAGATAGAGCCAAATTGACCTTAATAGTTGGAGATATTCACATGTCTCTCTCAGCAACAGATAGAACAAGCAGATAAGAGATTGGTAAGGATATAAAATTTTTTAACAGCACCGTTAACAAACTTAACCAAATTGACATTCAAAGAATAATAAAACAAAAACCTATAGACTATATCTTTGTTTCAAATGCCCTTGGAACATTCAGCAAGTTATACCATATTGTAGGTCTTAAGTAAGTCACTACAAATTCCAAAAGGTTGAAATGACACTGTGTATAATCTTGGACTATAATGAAACTAAAGAGGACATCAACAAGAGACAATGACTAGAAAGTTTTCCAAATATTTGGAAATTTTAAAACAACAATATTTTTTGGTGGAAAAACAAATTACGAGGGAAATTTGAAGAAATGGTTTAAACTGAATAGTATGAAAATATGACAAACAGCTAAAGTAGTGCTTACTGGGAAACTTGGAGTTTGAATGCATATACTACCAGAGGGAAATGAAAATTAATTATCTAATTCTTCATGTGTACAAACTAGAACAAAAAGTGCAAGTTAAGCCCCACTGAGTAGAAGAAAAAATAATAAAGACAAAGAAATAAATAAAAATATAAAGCAGGTAAACCTCAGATACAAATGGCATAGGAGACCAGCTGCACTGGGCACATATGGTCATATAAATCACTGTGGCTCCAACTGTGGTTATAAGGTGTGGTCTCTGAAAGCAATCAACAGAGACTGCCACTTTTCAGTGATTCAACTTTGGACACGTTACTTAGCCTTTTTGCACTTCAGTTATTTAATTCATAAAATGAGAATACATGCCTCAGTGTTGCTTGGAGGATTTAATTCAATAATATATTTCAATGACCTAGCACGATACCCGGCTTAGCATATTTAGTATAGTATATGTGAATTTCTTCCTTTCCTTCTTTTTCTCCTCTTTTGAAAGAAATTACTCAATTGGACATGTTCATTCATAAGATCTAGCTAGACAAACCCTAAATATACATACAGTCAATTCAGTCAATTGATTCAAAGTCAATCAATTAATCAAACATTCAACCACTAAATTAGTTTGAATCATCTCTCCAGAATGTTCTTATTGATTTTTTTTTTTTTTTTTTTGATCCAGAGTGTTGCTCTGTCTCCCAGGCTGGAGTTCAGTGGTATGATCTTGGCTCATTACAACCACCACCTTCTAGGTTCAAGCAATTCTCCTGCCTCAGTCTCCTGAGTAGCTGGGACTACAGGCACGTGCCACCATGCCCGGCTAATTTTTGTATATTTAGTAGAGATGGGGTTTTGCCATGCTGGCCTGGCTGGTCTCAAATTTCTGACTTCAAGTGATCTGCCTACCCTGGCCTCCCAAAGTGCTGGGATTCCAAGTGTGAGCCACCATGCCCAGCCTGAATTTTCATATTTAGAAATGACCACGGAGACAGTTAAATAAAAGCCACACACAGGACAGCAAAAACAGTCTATAGACCACAGGCAGTTTTGCTGTCTCTTGAACTTTAAAATGTTGCCTCTTTTAAGTCAGGTTAAAAGTGGCAACATTCAAAAAATGCCACCCTTTTTCTAGTTTTGTAATGTTATTCACTAAATATGAAATGTGTATCTGGTGTCATTCAATAACGAATCATATTTACCCTTGGAAGACTGTATTATGTCCCCTACTCATAAATACAGAATATATATCTGTTGGAGTATACCTAATTCCACTGCAACATGGTTAAGCTTTGATCCAAGAAGAACCGGAACTATATAACCGCTATCTAGAAGTGACAAAAGAAAAGACAAATATATTAGTGTTGCCTTGAGCTTCTCTAAGACAAGCATCTATTAGAATGTGCTCATTTCATGTAACAAGGGTTCCAGTAGTCAGCAGTTTGCGTTCACTTGAGTCCTATTTGCATTAACTAAAGGTTGCAGATGTATCATTTGTTGCTTCATTTTCCATCAACTCCCTGCTCACAGAGATGCTTAAAGCACCTTGTACCTGGTTTCCTCTTACTCAAATCTGCAGCTTCTGCTCACTTTAAGTAAAAGGCAGAGGAAGATGCTCCTCCACTGCTGCCTGACTCCCAGACGATCAAACATGCAGGACTTGGACCATGCAAAATCACTGGGAAGAGCCTTTCTGCTCTGTCGTGATTCCCTCCATCTGTCCTCCTCAGCTGGCCTGTGATGGATTTACAGGGAGTGGGGCCAAGACAGGGTGAAAAAAGCAAATCCCTCTAGGTGGCCACTGTTCCCTGGCAGGATGCTAAGAGCAGTGTCCCTTCCATATTGTGCCCCAGGGGCCTCACGTCAGCCCTGGCCCTGTTGGTTAAGTCCATGCTTATAGGACAAGTTCTACTTTTGCTCCTGAGTGGCTTCTGACCTCGACTAGAAGGACTGCACATAAATCTTGTCTTCTCAGTCGCCATCTGGTGATGCTTGGGAAGTAAATCATCACTCAGCAGGCTCTTGCCTAAGGCAGCTGAAAACTGCAAACCCTAAGAGCAGCTGTGGTCATAAATTTAAACTGGTACATAGTTAAGTTATTGTTGACCCTGATATCTGCATTGATAACATTCCTCATGACCAGGACTGTTCCCTTTTAGTAACCACGGTGCTTTACGGGCATTTTCAAGCAACATCCAGAGCAGCCCTTCTGGGACTTGTGGGTGCTCAGCAAGCAGAATGCCTGGTCAAGTGGAGTATAGTGGGACTCAAAAGCTTTCCTGCAGCTTCCACACCTCCCTGAGCCCTCTCATAAAGTGCAGTGCCACAGAGTGAGCAGTGGGGAAAGCAGTGGGCAGATATGTGAGCAAGAACAGGAGAATGAAATCAGTACAGTAGACCCTGGGGTTGAGAGTCAGGACTGGGTTCCCCAGGATTCAGTCTCTGGGCAAGCCCGAAATTCTGGCAGACAGGCAAGAGGAGCTGAGATGTATCTAGGGAAAGAACTAACTCTCAGGTCTGGCAGCACGAAGCAACATGGGCTTGAATTCAAAGACAAAGAAGCAGGAGGCAATTTCCGTATGAAGGGGAAAACTGCTACTGACTACATTTCTCTGGATCAATTTTTGCCCCTGAAACTTGCACGGAAGATTTGAGAAGGGGAAGTGTGAAGAACATCTTAAACAAAGGGTGCTATCTACTAACACTCAAATTATATCATAGGAAATCCAGATCAGCCCTGAGTTTGCACAACTGGTGTAAAGTGAAGAATGCAGTCCCATGTAGGTCACAAAAGGAAGACAGCACCTTAGTGCATCCCCTTGACGTGACCAGTCTACTTAGGAGGCTAGCATCAGAATCAAAACGGCACACAGGTCATCAGCAGTAGGAGGAGACACCACCAGATGAGCCAGAGCATGAGATCAGGAAAGTGGCAGATGCCCAGTGGAAATTCAGGTGACTGTGATTCACGAGCATGAGCTGAAGGCAATGGTACTTCTGGGTTCCAAAAACAGTGACCAAAGTATGGCATTTTGGCAGGTTGAGTACTTTAAACTAAAGGACATTGGAAGGCCTCAAAGCAGCCTCAAAATCAAGATCCCTGTGACATTCTCCTGCCCTCCTGCTTCATGCCCCCATTCTCCCCAAAGCAAGTTATAGAAACCAGACTTCTTCCCAAAAGCAGATCATAAAAACCAGAATCCTTTTCCCCAAAATAAGCCATAGAACCTAGAAGCATGACCCTAACCTTCTGCCTTTCTGTCCAGGAGCTGGCTAAAAATTCTTTGACCTTCTTCGGTCTGACAGTAGGTCTTAATACCCTCTGCCCTCTATCCAGGAAAAAGAAATATAACAGAGAGGCCAAGAAGAATCTGAGCAGACAGGTCTTGCTGGGTTTTGCCACTCAGTCTATTACCCAGGAAAAAGAAAGGTAACAGAGAGGCCAAGAAGAATCTTAGCAGACAGGTCTTGGTGGGTTTCCCCACTGAGTCTATTAGCATTAGGTCATATCCTTTTGTTCAATCACATTTCTACATGGCTGTCCATGCTTCTAGAGCCTAAGGACTTAAAAAGAAAAAACAGTTTTCCCTGAGTCTTGGGGCCGGCCTGCCTGCCTTCCTTCCTTCCTTCCTTCCTTCCTTCCTCCCTCTCCTTCCCTCTCTCCCTCCCTTCCTTCCTTCCCTTCCTCCCTTCCTTGCTTCCTTCCTTCCTTTCTTTTCTTTTCTTTTTTTCTGATTGAGTCTCACTCTGTCACCCAGGCTGGCACACTGTCCACTCACTACAACCTCCGCCCCCTGGATTCAAGCAATTCTCCCTGCCTCAGCCTCCCAAGAGGCTGGGATTATAGGTTCTGTCACCACAGCAAGCTAATTTTTATATTTTTAGTAGAGATGGGTTTTCATCATGTTGGCCAGGCTAGCCTCAAACTCCTGGCTTCAGGTGATCTGCCCACCTCAGCCTCCCAAAGTGCTAGGATTACAGGCATGAACCACAGCACCCAGCCCTGGGGTCTTCATTTCTGAAGGCTTCCATGTCACAGAAAATTTTGATTAAATAAATTCGTTTTGCTTGCTTCTTGTTAATCTGTCTTTTTTATGGGAGCATTGTCATGACCCTTATGATGCGGAGGAGAGGTATCACACCTTTACACCACTACAGCGGTGACCATGTGGCAGGTAAGAGATCTTCATCTGTAATGGCAAGTGTGCCATAATAAAGACACAACTTGGAGAAGGCAGGAGCTCAGAGCCCCACTGTCCTCAACACAGGCCAGAACACCTCCTGACAGTCCTCTCCAACGACAAGCTCTAATTTCTATAAACTGATGGCAACTTTACCAAATCCAAAAACATAGCTAGGATGGTGAAGTGTCTAGACATTTTGCTGTATGTAGCATTGAAGGAGTTGTTGCTCTCTCAATAATGCACACAACAGACATGTAATGAGCACCTATTCTGTGCCAAGTGCCAGTCGTAGGTATTCAAGATGCAAAGATGAGGAACAGAACTCAGTGCAAACCTTTCCAGACACTTTTCAAGTTATTGACTGAGACACACATGTAATGCAACTCTGACAGCAATCGGAAATACAAACAAGAGGTCATGGGGGCACGAAGGAGGAGGGACATTTGAGTGGAGTCCTGAGAGACTCAGTTGACATTCTCCAAGGAGACAAGAAAAATAAGATGGACAATTATGGGAGAAGAATATATTATGCTGCAGGTGAGGTATGGGATATGGTCATTACAGCAGAGCTCTTCCTGTCCCTGGAGCCACCCTAGAGCTGTACACACAATCACTCACTCAATCATCGTCAACCAGCCCTACAAGGGATGAACCACTACTGTCCCATTTCATCATGAGGAAGCTGAGACAGAGAGGAACTAAGGAAATTAACTCACCCAAGGCCACAGCCTCACAGAACTGTTGTGAGGATGATATGAGATGATTCAACTCAAGTACTTGGCACAGTCCCTGGCCCATAGCAAGTACCCTTTTAATAACAGATACTCTTATGGCTTCGTCAAAGAAGGAAAGGGTTGCTGATGGGTGGAAAGCAAAGATGGTGGGACAGAGGGTGTAGGTTCTGAAAGAATCAAAGGAACAGAGATTTATATAAGAATAAAAATACATGTAAGAAAGTAAAATTGGAGATTTTGGGGTAGATAATTTTTTTTTTTTTTTTAGATTCAATCTCACTCTGTCACCCAGGCTGGAATGCAGTGGCGTGATCTTGGTTCACTGAAACCTCTGCCTCCTGGGTTTTAGCAATTCTCTGCCTCAGCCTCCTGAGTAGGCGAGATTACAGGCACCTGCCACCATGCCTGGCTAATTTTTGTATTTTTAGTAGAGACAGGGTTTCACCATGTTGGCCAGGCTGGTCTTGAACTCCTGACCTTGTGATCCACCTGCCTCAGCCTTCCAAAGTGCTGAGATTACAGGCATGAGCCACCGGCCCAGCCCAAGGTAGATGATTATACATAGAATTTAAGTTTTTGAGTTTAAAAATTCAGTTTTGGGTTTCCTAGGCTCTGGGCTGTGGCAGGCAGAATAATAGACCCCAAAGTTTCCCACATCCTACTCCCGAGTTCCTGTGAATATGGTATGTTACATGGCAAAAGGAACCTCTAGATGTGATTAAATTAAAGATCTTGAGACAGGGAGATCATCCTGAGTTATCTAGGTGCGCACAATGTAGTCTCAAGGTCCTCATCAGGGAGACAGAAAGGTCAGAGTCAAAAAGGAGATGGGATGAGGGAATCCAATGTGTTTGACTCCGAAATGAAGTGGCACAAGCCAAGAACAGCAGGTGGTCTCTAGAAGTGGAAAAAGGCAAAGGCAAAGAAATGTATTTTCCCCTAGAGCCTCTGTAAGCAGCGAATCCTACCAAAACCTTGATTTTAGCAAAGACCCTAAACTTGGGGTAATTTGTTACCCTGGTAATACGTGGGTGTATATCGCTACACGGTTGTAGTGAAGAGGAAAGATGCTGCTAAAGCAAACGCTGTGCCAAATGCCAGCCCACAGATTTTGCTGAACAAGCCACCCACACAGGTGTTACAGTTTCCAGTTCCTCAGGATGATGGGTGGGGAAGTCAAGGCTGAATAAACCATTGTCTTCAAATCATCAAAGGAGCTGTCATTTTAAGAAGGGGCCAGACTTAATCTGTGAAATTCTTGAAGGCAAACCAAAATCAGTGGTTGGAAGCTACGAGAAGGGAAATGGACTCAACAGAAAAAAAGACTGACAATCAGATACTAAAACCTGGATTATGCTGCTATGTGATTTGGACATTTCCTTGGCAGTTTCCCAGAAGGGACTGGATGATCAATTATTGGCTGTGCTTTATGATGAATATCTTCACTGGGTGAGGTTTAATTAAATATCTTTAATGTCCCAGGATTCTGTTCTTCCATCACACACAGCCTGGGTCCAGCATGCCTCCCTTCCCACCAGGACATCAGTGTTCCTTACACTCTCTCAGACGACAGCCCTTTCCCCAGCAGGTCTTCCCCCATTCATGAGGCTCCCCCTCCAAGACCAAGGTCAAATGGAGTCTCTAGCATCTGTCCTTCCTCCAACTTCCCCCTGCACTCTTGCAGCCTCACAGGTGATGCTATTTGATATGGTGGCACCTTCATGTAGCTTATTGTCTCTCCTGATTATAATCAAATCCCTTGAGAATAGTACAGTGCTCACTTCATCTCATATTTCCTTGCTTCCCTGCCTCGCTGTGGTAAGTACCATTTATTGACTACAGATGTCTTCAATAAATATTCATGGCGTGAAAATGTAAATTTAACAACAAAAGATTCCAGAATTTACTCAAATATCATATGAGAAAGAGCTGACTTATGTGCAGTTTATTCATATAGATTTTCATTTCCTTCCCAAAAAGAGGTTGTTTTTCAGCCAAGTAGAGGTCCACCAAAATGAAGAGTTTGACACTTATATTTGAACTAGTGATGTGGTCACAACCCCAACTAAGTGGGTTCTCAATTCCTACACAGTTTTGAAGAATGAAAAAAATTCCATTTTACTAAAATAAATCTGCTTCTTCCCAATTCTAAGATTTCCCTTACCTCCCAATACTGTAATATTGAAGGTTTTGGTGATGTTAAATAGTTTTCCATCGTGATGAAGGAAATGCACGCAGGAGTAATATCCCTGATCTTCAAACTCAGCATTCTTCTTTATCATTGGGTTTTCCTTGTTCTCCAGTAGCTTTTTACAGTTCTGTTTTTAAGAAAGCAAGTTAAAATACTTTAAGTAAAAGCCGAATTCATATTACAATTATCCAAATTTTTGAGTTAAATATCTTTAGAGAAAAAGGAAAAAAGAATGGAAAGTAGCAATTCTGTGTATATATCCATTACTTGATACTATTTTTACTGAAACAATTAAAAACAGTCCCATTGCTGTTGTTATGATTGTCGTTATTAATAGATACTGGGAAGTACAGCATGGGGAAATAGAAACATTGTAGCTGCTTTCATCAATTTCCTTTCACCTCTCCTTTACATGCGTGCACAGAGATACAAACAGAGAGACAGAGACAGAGAAAACATTACAACAAAAATCCTTGCTTGAGTGACATCTCTGTTTCCCACATGTTCAGTCCAAATTTTGTGTATTCCAGACTATGCGTCCCAGGGATGGGTAGTGGGGTGGGAGGAGAATTACTCAGAAGACTAAGTAGCTAGCAGACCACCCATGCCCTTAACACCCTCCACCAGAAGCCAGAAAGCTGATTAGAAATGCATCAACAATATTCAAATCCATAGGTACACTCAAACATCTCTATCTCACACACACACATTTCCATACATGTCACAGGAATTAATACTAATTGTAATAAATAAAATCACTTTCTTCAATTCAGCACATCTCATATCCAGAGGTAGGTCCCAGAGCCATCCAAGGACCACATGGGAAGGCTGACGGCTGAATGGCCATTCTTGACCAATGGACACTGTTTCTGCAGACACCAGGCAAAGAGAACCTACTGCCCACAGACTTTTTCCTCAGAGCTGGCAGCCACTGGGGCTAGACCCATTGTGCATAGAATGTGCCCAAGAAGCACCCACATGTGTACCTCACATCAGTAAATTATTTATGTGTAAGTCAAAGTTTTATAAAACCAAACTAATTTTTCCAACCTGTGGAAAAGATCAGAGACTCTTCATTTTCTTTTCCAGTCAGCGGTTTACTGATTTACCCTCCTTGCTCTCAGGTGAAGTCATGGTCAGTCGACAGATTTAGAATACTTAGCCCTGTGGTCAATTGTTTAGCTAAACATCCTTGATGCACCAATGTTCTTAATTTAAATATCTGTATTTTGGAATTTCTTAAAACGGCACACCAAGCCTCACCAATTTAAGTGTGCTGTAATACATTTGTACATTGATGGGAAATTCAGTCAAGTCAACTCAGAACTGACTCGAATGTTTAGAAAACATTTCAGAATAAGAGCTGTTTTTGAAAACCACAAGTAAACAGTGCTCAAGCATAAGATACAAACAAAAGTTTCAGGGAAATCATCATCACTTGTTTCAGTTTTCCCAAGTTCTGTTCAGACCACTCTCTCTTACAGCTCTTTAAAGTTTCCATGACAGAAGCACATTATTCATATTTGTTATTCAATATAAACTACATCAGCTGTCCCCAACAGTCTTGACACAGAGACCGGTTTCGTGGATGACAATTTTTCCATGGACGAGGGTGGGGGGAGTTGAAGGGATATGTTTGGTTTGGGGATGATGCAAGTGTATTACTTTTATTGTGCACTTTATTTCTATTATTATTATATTGTAATATATAATGAAATAATTATATAACTCACCATAATGTGGAATCAGTGGAGCCCTGAGCTTGTTTTCCTGCAACTAGATGGTCCTATCTGGGGGTGAAGGGAGACAGTGACAGATCATCAGGCATTAGATTCTCATAAGGAGTGTGAAACCTAGATTCCTCTCGTGCCTGGTTCACAATAGGGTTTGTGCTCCTATGAGAGTCTAATGCCACTGCTGATCTGATCTGGTAATGTGAGTGACGGGGGGTGGCCCGGGGATTGGGGATCCCTGAACTACACAATTCATGTTGTGTGTGTGCATGGATAGGAATGTGCATGTTTTTTATGCATATACACACTCTATACACACACTATATATATGTGTGTGTATATATAATTTCTATAGCATGGTCTAAAAGAGGTTTTATTTTTTATTTACTTTAAGTTCTGGAATACATGTGCAGAACGTGCAGGTTTGTTACATAGGTATACACGTGCCATCAACCCATTATCTACATTAGGTATTTCTCCTAATACTATCCTTCCCCTATTCCCCCGGAGTGTGATGTTCCCCTCCCTGTGTCCATGTGTTCTCATTGTTCAACTCCCAGTTATGAGTGAGAACATGTTGTGTTTGGTTTTCTGTTCCTGTGTGAGTTTGCTGAGAATGATGATTTCCAGCTTCCTCCATGTCCCTGCAAAGGACATGAACTCATCATTTTTTATGGCTGTACAATATTCAATGGTGTATAAGAGCTTTTAAAATTCAACTGAAGAAAACAGAGAAAATAAACAGACAATCCACAAAATTGCCTTATTGTGGTTAAGATCCAATCAATATATACAAAAGTTTAATTTATTACTAAGAAAAGTAAAAAACCACTAGGAGTTTTAGAAATTTTTCATATCAAATTTTAAACATTCTAGGATTATTATTTCCCAGTGCTGTGGAGGTGACAGAAAATTGGAATTCTTTTATCAAGGGCGGGTAAAATTGGCATAACTCCCTGGAGATGAATTTGATTGTGTGGAGAAAGAGCCATATAAACATGCTCACAGCGTTTGATCCAATAATTCTACATTTAGGGATTTGGTTGAAGGACAAATTACATAAACACCCAAGGATTTGTGGAAATGGTAATCATTTTCACCTTTAAATAATAGTGAAAAATAGGAAATTCACAAATGTCCAGTATCAATGCGATTAGTAAGATGAGACCAGGCACATGCAAAATGAAAGCCCATGCTTAGAAGATTGTTTAAAGATATGAAGGGATAGTCACAACATGATTTTTAGAAGAAAAAAGCAATAAAATGAAATAGACCACTTTTAAAAACCAGATACTACACAGAAAAAAACCACAAAGTCTCTAACTGATGAAATGATGAGTGATTTTTGCTTTCTTCATTTTTCAGTTTTCCATCTTCTAATTTTATAAAATAAACTAATATATTCAGAAAAACATATACAATCAAGTTTTAAATATTAAGTATGTGTGACAGGAGAAATGGAAATCTTTAAACTAGCATTGCTAAAAATTAATTTATTGAAAGAGAAGGAAAATGCAGGAAGGGTGTGGGAGAGGAAGTTGTGATCATTTATTGAACACCAAATCCAGGGAAACTACTGTGGAACACATGTCAATACTATGTATCAGCTCTTGGCAACAAGCCAGTGAGGAACTGGGCTCAAACAGGGCCAGTGGGCCATGTGGGGTCAGGCAGCTTCTTTGTTATGAGACCAAAATGATAGCCCTCAGCCCCTGATTTGGGAATTTTATCTTTTCCAAGTCTTAAAGTTAAAATATTGTAAAAAGCATTACCTTATACAATGATGTGCTGTTGACCAGTTTTTGATAGTAACTGTTTTCACAGGTTATCTGCAAAAATTTTTTAACTCTCACAGCTTTACTAGTTACTTGTTTCTCAGTGAAACAGCTGTGTTTATTTCTTCTGATGACATTTAAGTTCCATTCCTGAGTATGATTTCTACGGAATAAAGTTGTAAAGGTATTTTATAATACTACAGAAACTTTGCAAATATCACCCTCTTCCCTTTAGTAACCAATGCTATATTTTTCCTTTATTTTTTTAAAGAGATCGATTCATTGATATGCAAACCCTGCTCTGCCTCCTTTTGGTTCAGAGGAGCAAGAAATTTAACAACTGTCATGGGAGCAGGAGGTAAAAAATGAAAACCTTAGCAGTCTACACACACAGAGAAACACACACATGCAGGCAAACACACACACACACACATGTACATATCCTACTGCAGGCAATATATTATGGATGTCAGGACAGGAGATGTTTACAATGTCAATGATCTTTGGTGATGGATAAGTTTAGAGAGTCTTAGTCCAGGATGAAAGGGTGGCTTTGGTTTCACCAGGTCTATAAACTCCTGATGTTGTTTTCTAAATGTGTGTGTATATGCGTTAGGTTTCATGTTTCTCATGGCAATTTGTTCCAATCCCCTTCTCTTACTGTTGAATAAACCAAAGTCTGGAGTTGCTGCCCTCAGTGTAATTGAATTAGCTCTTTAAATGCCTTACTGACCAAAAGTGAGTATGAGTAGATTTTATAGTTGTTTTTCCTCCTGATCAGAAATTAGTGATCAGGACTATCACTAGGCCGGGTGCAGTGGCTCACCCCTGTAATCCCAGCACTTTGTGAGGCTGAGACAGGTAGGTCACCTGAGGTCAGGAGTTTGAGACCAGCCTGACCAATGTGGTAAAACCCCCATCTCTACTAAAATACAAAACTTGGTGGGGTGTGGTGGTGGGTGCCTGTAATCCCAGCTACTTGGGAGGCTGAGGCAGGAGGCAGAGGTGGCAGCGAGCCGAGATTGTGCTATTGCACTCCAGCCTGGGCAACAAGAGCAAAACTCTGTCAAAAGAGAGAAAGAAAGAAAGAAAGAAGAAAGAAAGAGAGAAAGAAAGAAAGAAAGAAAGAAAGAAGGAAGGAAAGGGAGAGAGAGAGAGAGAAGGAAGGAAGGAAGGAAGGAAGGAAGGAAGGAAGGAAGGAAGGAAGGAAGGAAGGAAGGAAGGAAAGAAAGAAAGAAAGAAAGAAAGAAAGAAAGAAAGAAAGAAAGAAAGAAAGAAAGGAAGGAAGGAAGGAAGGAAGGAAGGAAGGAAGGAAGGAAGGAAGGAAGGAAAGAAAGAAAGAAAGAAAGAAAGAAAGAAAGAAAGAAAGAAAGAAAGGAAAGAAAGAAAGAAAGAAAGAAAGAAGAAAGAAAGAAAGAAAGAAAGAAAAGAAAGAAAGAAATGGAGAAAGATACAGCATTTTTTAAATGAAGTTCTTAAAAAGAAAGTGTTTCCAATTTGATGTTAGCTTACCCTGTACCTGGGATGTGTAGATTCATTTACTAAACACAGCAGACAGGTGTTATTAAGTTATGCTATATGCCTGACACATTTGTGCTCACTTTAGGCTCTTTCAGTTCCCCTTTAGGTCTTCAATAGGATAGAAGGAAAACAAGACTAGCACTTACTGAGTTCCAAGTGTTAGACTATGTAAGTGCAAGGGAGCTGACTATTTTACTTAGGCTCCAATGAAAATGCTAAATCTCAGAGAGGTTAAACAACTTGCTCAGGGCACACACTTGCTACAAGATGGGGCCAGGGTGCAAATGCACATCTATTTGGCCCCAAAGGCCAGAAGTGCTTTGCACAATTCTAATCACTTTCACAATCCAATGAATCTGGCCCCTTCACCTTGGGCATGACTTTATGAAAGATTGGCCATGACTGGAGAAGGTGGCAGACCGTTGCCATGGTTAGAGGCAGTGGGTCAGTGGCCATGGGACATGATAGAGCTATCTGGCCCTTGAACTGGATTCAGAATCCCATTGGCAGAGTCTTCTTCTCCAGTGTATTTTTGTAAAGTCTCCCCAACTTTGGCCTCGATGAACTGGAGAGATAGAGATTTCTGGATCTCTCTGACCTGTTGCTTAAAAGGAATAGAGTACATGAATATTCCCATCTTGGCAGATTGCATTGTTCTCTGTCTCTGTAATCCTCCATTCCTAATGCTCAACAAATGCTAGAGGGCTGATTACACTCCATTTGCAGGACACTGCAATGGGAATGCTGAAACAAGCAACATCACACTGCTCCTGCCATCCAGGAGCTCCAAGGCTGGTGAACACCGAGGCCACCTGGCCCAAATCCATGAACACACTTTCCTGCCACAGGCCCAGTCCATCCTGGTTATGAAAGCCACTCATTTTTGTCCACATACACCAGGGGATAAGCACCAGCCCCTCTTCTGAGGCTGCTCACCAAGCTGAACTTGCTGCCTGTCAGCCTAGGATCTGATTATTACATTTCTGTGTGTGCATTTCTCTACACCTTCATTTCTTCACCTCTATCATTGAAAACTGCTATATCCCCTTCCTTCTTAGTTGTTTTTTTTTCTTAAAATTTGGTGAGACAAAGTGATTTTCACTGCAGGACTGAATTATCAGTCTTCAGTGGCATTTGATTATTAGCAATGGACTCCTAAGAATTAAATAATTACTGTTCTAATGGGAAAATTTCAGGTGTAAAGTCTGTTCAGTGATAGATTCCACATCAAACTACAAAGGCTTACACACCTACGTTAGAACACATGTGTACGTATGCGCACACACACACACACACATCTGCAGTAAGTACTGCTTACCAATTGCACAACACACACATGTGTGTACGGGCGTGTGCATGCACACACACACACACACACACATCTGCAGTAAATGCTGCTTACCAATTGCACTATACTTGAAGATGTCTGTATCTTCTATGCTCCTAGGTGTCTAAAACAACCTGCTTCCCATTAATCATCAAAGCCATTGTCAAAGCTGCTTCTCTCCTCATCACTTCACTCTCACAGTATCAGTCTCCAATATCCACTCTGGGACGCCTCATTTTTCTCAGCGTCTCCTGTCTGCTACCCTGTCTCTCCACACCTCTCTGAAATCCTACCTCAATCTTTTGCTTCCATTGTTGTTTCCTAAGTCAGGCTGTATTCTCTACTCCCCATGACAGAAAGATGACCAATACCATATGCTTCTGTTATTTCCAAGTGATGATCATAGATGCCTGGCTGTTCCTTTCAATGTGCTCTCTATGCCCTGTCCAGAATTCTTTATTCCTTTAAATAAATTTCATTCAATCAGGAGTCAAAAGCGGGGGCAGATGTGTTTGTTGTTCTTTTTCCTTTACCCCATTTGTGAGTATTCATTCTTCCTTAGAGTTGTGAAAAATCCCAGTTGTGACCCATTTCTGTAATTATTGCTTTTCAAAGGTCACCTGAAGATGTATTGGTGTTTATCAAAAGAACTATTTAATTTTTTCTAATGACTCGGAGTTCCTATGTATAAAAACAAACAAAAATGACCTCATTTTGTGCAAAACCACAGGACTGCTACCAAGGTTTCATAGTGATAGCTCACTCTGCTCTCAACAGCATGGTTGATAATGATCAAGACTCAATCTACAGGTGCTTCTAAAAGAAATCTGCTGCATATGAAATCTGCACACCATCACCCTTCAGCTGGCCCTGAGCTATTTCCTGCAGGTCAGTTGCAAGTCTCTATAACAATACCTACATATGTAGGTAGGTACATCTAAAGAGAAATGCGTTCAGTAAGTGTGGGTGATGTTTTCAGTTGGCTGCACTCACTTCATGGAAGTTACGCAACTAAATTATGAGTATCCTGGCAAAATCTAGGGACACCTCATGAGTAAACTTCAAAGCATTTCCGTGTTGCCCTCTCTCACTGCTCCCAGCTGTGGGTTGTGATTGGCTGCCAGACACACACTTCCTCCACTAGCACTGCCTCCTGGCTCCCATCGAACCCCTGCAGACTGGACTCATGTGTGTCCGCCTCAACTCCATCTCTGCTCCCCACCAAGTATGCCACCCAGGAAGCTGACACTGTCCCCTTCACAATACATTAATATTACTGTGAAGTCTGAGCCACTGATTTCATTTGACTGGGAGCATCTAGACAATAGGAGCAGCTGAATTTTAAAACTGACTTTCACACAATTGCGACTTCTTATTGACAAGGATCCCCTAAAAGGAAATCCTATTAAGGTAACCTCCTTTTACTAAGGTCATTAAGAAAATAAACAGAGAGAGAAAAATTTATTTTGTTCCATAACAAAGAATGTATTTCATGTCGTAGGAAGAGTAGGAAAGAAAAAGGTGTGCTGATTATTTGACCTTTCAGATTACTGCATATTTGAGTTGCTGAACAAAGGACAAGAGGGCTATAAAATACACTCTGAAAAGAAACCGTTACTCACCCCATTTGGAAAAAGTAAGATCCCATGTCATTCAACTCAACAGGCCAAAACTCCAAAGCATGATCTTGCAAACAAAGTCTTGGTGAACTGCTTGGGTTCAGCTCCACACGTTTCTGTGATCCACTGCTTTTTTGCCATCTTCCAGTGTTTGCTTCAATCGCATGTGCATGTGAAGACGAGCAATATTTCAGATAGAAAGGTTCCCCTTCAACTGCGGTAATGTGGGGACGTGAAGTACAAGAAGACTCTTCAAAAGATTAGTAAAGTAAAAAGAAATAAAAACAAAAACCAAAATGACAAAGGTAACTTTTTGTCTCCTAATGTATTAGGTGAAGAAGCAAAGTTAGTAAGAAAGTCCTGAGAAATCTTGGTGTCACTTTCTTGTGGGTTCTTTTATTTTTGCATCAACCTTTTCAACACTAGAAGGGATAAGGCACTTTCAGAGCATAGATGAAAGCACAACTTCTGACAGTTTCTCCCCAACAGGAAGGCATCAGAATTTAAACAATCATGGCTAGAAGACTGATAAACGTGTCATCTTTTAAAAGCAAATATTACACGTTTTAACTTCTTCACAAGGAAAGCCACAGAAGTCACAGTGTTTTCATACCTACCTCAAAACATACCCAGCTGAGGAGTCTCAGTGGAAAACAAGAAACCTAGCAATTTCGCATTCTTCCTCTGCATCATCAGAAATCTCACTCACCTTGCATTCCCCCTGCCTATCTAACATTCCCCAGCACGTGTGGGTATGGTTAAAGGCATGCCTATGTAACTTAGGGTGTGTGTACATTTGTTATTGCTGTAGGTCACCATGTGGATAATCAAGAGTTCATTTATATAATATCAATCCAAATTTGCAAATGTGTCACTTTCCCCCTTTCTCGACTGACCCAGATTGTCTGGCTTTGAAAATGTACCTGACCCTCATCTACACAGAATAAGTGCTCCTTCCCCTCTTTCTGCACTCTGGTATTTCAAGGTCAGCATTAATGGGTCTTTCTCATAATCTATCTTCCGGTGGCTTTTGGGTGCACTGTTATCACATTTTGAGGATGAGAATATTTAAATTGAATGAAACATTTTCTCTCAGACATGAACAGAATGTCCTCTCTGTAGACAGGGTTCATTTCTCAAAGCAGCAATCTAGTTTTAACTCAAAATTGTTAACCACAGAATAAAGAGGAAGTGTTGTGGCAGAAGCATTCTGATATGGTTTGGCTGTGGCCCCACCCAAATCTCAACTTGAATTGTAATTCCCATAATCTCCACATGTCACTGGAGGGACCCAGTGGAAGGTAATAAGTTCTCACTAGATCTGATGATTTTATAAGGAGCTTTTCCCTCTGTAAGTTTCCTGAGGCCTCCCCAGCCCTGTGGAACTGTAAGCCCATTGAATCTCTTTCCCTTATAAAATACCCAGTTTCAGGTGTGTCTTTATTAGCAGTGTGAGAATGGACTAACACAGTAAACTTGTACCAGGAGTGGAGCACTACTGTAAAAACAGGCAAAAATGCAGAGTGACTTTGGAACTAGGTAACAGGCAGAGGCCGGAACAGTTTGGAGGGCCCAGAAGAAGATAAGAAAATATGAAAAAGTTTGGAACTTCCTAGAGACTTGTTGAATGGTTTTGACCAAAATGCTGATAATTACATGGACAATAAAATATAGGCTGAGGTGGTTTCAGATGGAGATGAGGAACTTGTTGGGAACTGGAGCAAAGGTGACTCTTGCTATGCTTTAGCAAAGTGATTCGTTGCATTTTGCCCTTGCCTTAGAGATCTGTGGAACTTTGAACTTGAGAGATGATTATCTGGCAGAAGAAATTTCTAAAGAGCAAAGCATTCAAGAGGCGACAGAGCTTAAAAGTTTGGAAAATTTGTGGCCTGAAGATGTGGTCAAAGAGAAAAACCTATTTTCTGGAAAGAAATTAAAGCTGGTTGCAGAAATTTGCATAAGAAATGAGGACCCAAATGTTAATTGCCAAGACAATGGGGAAAATGTTTCTAAGGCATGTCAGAGATCTTCACAGCAGGCCCTCCCATCACAAGCCCAGAGGCCTAGGAGGAAAAAATGGTTTCCTGGGCTGAGCACAGGGCCCTCTGATGTGTGCAGCCTAAGGACTTGGTGCCCTGCATCCCAGCCCTCTAGCCATTGCTAAAACAGGCCAAGATATCAGATCAGGCTGTGACTTCAGAGGGTGCAAGCCTCAAACCTTGGCAGCTTCTACATGTTGAGCCTGGACTTCTACATAGTGTTGAGCCAGCAGGTGCACAGAAGTCAAGAATTGATGTTTGGGAACCTATGCCTAGATTTCAGAGGATGTATGGAAATGCTGGATGTACAGGCGAAAGTTTGCCATAGGGGTGGAGCCCTCATGGAGAACCTCTGCTAGGATACTGTGGAAGGGAAATGTGGTGTTGGGGATCCCACACAAAGTCCCCATTGGGGCCCTGCTAGTGGAGCTAAGAGAAGAGGGCCACCATCCTCCAGGACCCAGGTTGATAGACTCACTGACAGCTTGCACCATGCACCTGGAAAAGCCCAGAAACTCAACACTAGCCCATGAAAGAAGCCAGGAGGGGAGCTCTACCCTGCAAAGACACAGGAGCACAGCTGCCCAAGGCCATGAGATCCCATCTCTTGCAGCAGCATGACCTGGATATAAGACATAGAATCAAAGGAGATCATTTTGGAACTTTAAGTTTTAATGACTGCCCTATTAAATTTAGAACTTGCATGGGGCCTTTAGCCCCTTTGTTTTAGTCAACTTCTCTCATTTGGAAGGGTGTATTTACTCAATGCCTGTGCTTCCATTGTATCTAGGAAGTAACCACTTTGCTTTGATTTTATAGACTCATAGAAGGAAGGCACTTGACTTGTCTCAGATGAGACTTTGGACTTGGATTTTTGAGTTAATGCTGGAATGAGTGAAGGCCTTGGGGGACTGTTAGAAAGGCATGATTGTGTTTTGAAATGTGGACATGAAATTTTGGAGAGGCCAAGGGTGGAATGACATGATTTGGCTGTGACCCCACCCAAATCACCTTGAATTATAGTTCCCATAGGCCCCATATGTCATAGGAGGGACCTGGTGGAAGGTAATTTAATCATTGGGGTAATTACCCTAATGCTGTTCTGATAGTGAGTGGGTTCTCATGAGATCTCATGTTTTTATAAGGGGCTTTTCCCCTTTTGTTAAGCATTTCTCCTTGATGCCACCATGTGAAGAAGGATGTGTTTGTTTCCCCTTCCACCACCATTGTAAGTTTCCTGAGGCCTCCCCAGCCATACAGAACTGTGAGCCAATAAAACCTTTTTTCTTTATAAATCACCCAGTCTCAGGTATGCCTTTATTAGCAGCATGAAAATGAACTAATACATATTCTTTGAAAACTTGGATGTCAAATCTAACTCAAAGCACAAGAGTTAAGGAGCACCAACTTTATGTTTTCTGGTTGCTATGCAATCTCTATTTTACATTAATACTTTAACATAGAAGGTGTGATACATTCGTACATGTGGGTGTCAATTTCAATTGACACTGAAAACCATGATGAGCCATTAACAGTTCATTTACTTTCCTGTTTTAGAATTAATATAATAAAATGTATAGACCATACAATATGTGCTCCTTTATGTCTGTGTTATTTTGACATTATTATGTTATAAAGGCATTCATGCTATAGCAGTGATGTGTTCCTTTCTCATTGTCATGTAGTATCTAATTGCGTTATCGTTTGGCAATTTATCCATCTTATAAAGGGATACATGTTGGGGACTTGGTTTATTAAACAAATGTCTATTGGATATTGGGTTATTTCTGGGTTTCCAGGTTTTGGCAGATCTTAAAAAGCTTCTATAAACACATGACTGTGTTTGGATGGATGTGTGGTCTCTGGAAATATTATCATTTGAGAAAACCGAATCTGAATTACACACTCTCCAGAAGTGGGAGATTGATAGTCAAAAGTCCACATCCCATCCCCTGGGCAGCTAGTAGCTTTGGATATCTACTTATGTGTTTACCATTAGAGACTTTGTTGATTACCATAATGCTTGTTGGAAATGGTCCTTGTTGGGATAAATGAGAGGAGTTCAAGGTGTGCGGAGTTCCAAGTGCCAAAATAGGCACTCCTATTTTTCTATGAACACAATATAAGAACCCAGCAGGGCCAACAACAATAAAGTCTGTGTTTGAAACTGTCTTCAGTTTGAACAATCATAAGATTTTGTCACTTAAACTCGACTAGGTTCAGTGAATCCTATATGTAGAACATTGTCATGTCTTCCTAGAGGGAACCATTCATGAAAAGTGCTCTCCAGGGCAGACAGCAACGAATTTGGCAACCTTGCACAATAGACTACATGGCTGTTTCTGTGCCTGAAGCACGCTCTCATTGTAACAAGGTGCAAGGCTGTTAGTGTATGTCCACAGAACATGGGACCCATGACACATTTTCCTTCACCTTGCTTTTCCACTCACTCATTTCTGACAGATCATTGCATATCAAAAAACAAATATCTACCTCATTCCTTTACCATCTGGGTAGGATTGTATTGCAGGTATCTCAATAATAATTGGATCCACATAAATAAATATACCCTGAGATTGGACCTGTGTCATTTGAAATTACCAAAAGCTTAATTCAGCTATCTCTTCAGCAGTAATTCTCAAAGCAGGGAACACAGGCCCATGTGCTTCCCTCTCCCAGATAATACATCAAGGCAAATTAATATTTGTGCTCCCATTTTCTTTCCCAAAGCCTAAGGAATGCTTTGCTATTCAATCATGGAACTCGAAAGAATGGAGTCTTGGAATCCTTCTCAATAAAAAAAAGAACTCTAGACAATCACTGCTAATAAATTAAAATTGATATTTGACATCTACTGTGAAGCCTACTTGAACTCCCTGGTCTGGCCAGACTCTTTTTTGTATATTCCTTCTCATTTTATTTTTTTTAACCTCTCTAATATATTTTTTCATTTACATTTCTCATTATTACTTAAATAATGAGATGAATATTTGCCTCCTCTCAGGGAGGAGAGAGTGTGTTTCAAACTTTCTAAAACCCAATAACAAAGATGGCTATCACCTCCTCAATTTCAAATAACATGAAAGAAATTTTCACCTCAGACAAATGTAATTTACTTCAAGATGCAAGTTTTTCACTCTGCTCTCACTACATCAACTTGGACTGCAGAATCTTTTCTTTTCTGATAACACCATGTACATCTTTTTTACTTGATCCCATTCCTATGGCTCTTATCTCTATGTCTGGGATACCAAATGGTTGGCAATGTCACTAATCTTAATAAATTAGGTCACTAATCTTAATAAATTCAGCATCTTCAGTACCACCTTCATATTAAAAGAAAAAACTTGGACATCATTTCTCAATTACTAATAAGATATGTTTGTGAGTATTTATGATCACTTACCTGTGGTGCTTACAAATATAAGCACCCAAAGGGTCAATGTTAATTCTCTACAATTCATGTTTTGGATTCTGCTTCAAATGGCTTCTCTAGAAAACAGAATGAAACAGATTCAGCCAAAGCTTTCAGGCAAAAGCATACCTATCTTATGAAGGTTTAAAAATCCTCCGGCACACATATTTTTTGAAAAACCAACCTAGAAGATTTTCATATTCCTTAATATAGTAACCAATTCTCAGAACTTTCAGCCATATAAAATTAATAAAATTTCAAGACAATGAATTTTTGCTTCTGGAAGACATCCTTAATAATTCATTTTTCTGACACAACAGAACCTGATGAATTTCTTCCCTGGTCTATTAAATCCTGCCTCCAAGGTCAAAGTTGAGAACAATAGTACTGCTAAAAATATTACCATTCTATGAATAAAAAATGTGTGACATGCTGAGCTATGTATGGCAGTTCTGCCCATGTAAGAGAATGTGCGTGTGTTTTCACATCAAAATGCTCATCATGACTTGTAATGAGATCTTCATTCAGGGTTTGAATTTTTAAAACTCCATCTTCCTTGCTCAGAACATAGGTTTCATAAGTCTAGGAACTAAGTCTATTTTGTTCTTCATTGTGTCACTAAAATCCAGCATGACTCCTAGCATACCCCCAGCACTCGCTAACATGTGTCACTGAAGCATAGGTGTTTGTATGTGTGTGCGTGTGTCTGTGGCTGCCCATGTGAGTTTACTTTAGGGAAATGGAAAAATAAAATGACAGTCTCCTATACTCCAGACTCCTCCTTTACATTGAGCATGACCCGTGGAACAAGGAGCTGCATTAAATTTGCTTACTACAACCTTGCCTTCGCACTTCTGATTACAACTTTGAGAGCCCATTGGAGGAAGGATCGCCCACAGTGGAGACCATTCAGAGTCTAAATACTGCAAAAATAACACCATGTTCCTTGTTTAACCATCCTGAGTGCAGGGAGCACAGCCTGATGGCAGAGTCTGGTTTCAGAAACACACAAACCTGGGCTGCCACTCCAGTTTGAGTCCTGACAAGCTGTGCAACTTTGGGCAAATCTTAGAGCCTATTTGCTCATTATCAAACCAGAGATAATAAGAAGGCCTGCCTCCGGAATTATCCAGTGATTAAACCATCTAAGGCTTATGCAGGCTTCCTGAGTTCATGGCAGCCTCTCAGCCCAGAGTAATTTCCTCTCACCAATGACTACTCACCTTCCATCCTAAAAAAAAAAAAGAGGGTTGTCAATGCCTAAACCCAGGATAAAGCTTAATGGCTAAGCTGCCAAAACATTCATGTCCATACTTATGGGAAAACCATCAAATATTTGGTGGAATTTCCAAGAGATAATAATCAATAATGTAAAGACAAAAGAGACAAGTATGAATGGAAAGTACCAACTGTGCATAATCAAATTAGACCAGTTCTATGGTTTGAAACCTCCCCCACTACCTCCCCACACAGTTGTTATTAACTCTGCCTTTTCTTTTATCTTGGGTAGAATAAAAAATGTTATTTCCTTTACATCACTACTCTGGTTAAGGCTGATATAACCTTATAAAAAAGCATCACTTAAAAAAAATTCGATATCTACCAAGATACAAAGTTAAAATTAGAAGACGAGTCAGCAAACTAACTCTGAGTTTCAATATGAAACATATTAAGATTTCAGTATACGAAGAATAGGATCCCAGTATACAAAAAATAGTTGGTATTTGCACAGCATTCTGCAAATGTGGGTGTGTGTATATAAAATTTTTAATGTACTTAAGTTTTACGTGTGAATTTAAGAGATTAAGGTTATATTAAATAATAAATTCATTTCCAGAAAAAAAAACTATTCTGATAAGTGTAAAGGGTACTCTAGCAAGTATCAATAAAATAGATATAGAAGAATATAAATATTAAGTGTCTTACATGGAAGAATTTTAAGGGTTTTTTATTGTTACATTTAATATCAATATTTATGCTCTTCCATAACTCTTGTTTCTTTCTTTTTTAATTATTTTTGTGATTTCTAAAGCAATTTACACACAATGTAGGACATTTACAAAATGAAGACTGGAAGAAGAAAATATTCCCAACATGCATAATATTTTAGCATGTTTTCTTGTACTTTTTATAAATGTTGTAACATAATTAAGATGTTTAAATGATTGCATATCCTGCATTTCCAATTAATATGATATAATAAGCATTTTTCCTGTGTCACAAAAGTCTTTGTTAAAACCATCCTAATTGTCACCTAATATTACTTCATGTGAATATATTATCATTTACCAGATGCATTGTATTATGAGATAATCCTATGATCGTCTTCACGGGTAAGGCAGGATGGCTCAGTTTTTTTGCAACATGAACTCAGGTGCCAGCCTGGCTGGATTTGAATCTCCATTCTACCCTCTACCAGTTGAACAACTGTGGGCAACTGACTTACCTGCTCTGTGCCTCAATTTCCTTATCCACAGAAAGGGATAATATTACCATCTCCTGGAGCTGACGTGAAGGTTAAATGAGTTACTATTGCAAGTGTCTGGTGAATCGTGAATACCACTTAAATGTTGTCAACATTTCTTATTATTTCCTGGCTGTTACTTGATGGCAGAACAGTGATTGAATTGAAGGCTACATTTAAACCTGGCAAATGCATGCTCCCAAACTGCATTCCAGCAGTGCTGCAATAATTCATATTCTCCCACTCAATAGCACAAGACAGTATCTATCAACCACACCCAGGAGATCACTGAGCCACTTTACTTTTAAAATCTAATTAGACAGCCAAAATAGAAAAATGTTATCTCGTTGTTTTCTGAATTTGCGTTTATTTGGGTATAAATGAGGCATATATTAATCACTTATTATCAGTCATTTTATTTTCAAGTTTATGAACCATCTCTTGTCTTTTGTCCAGTTCTCAGATGTTTGTCTAACTTGTTTACTTTCTCTCTTTTGTTATGCTAATAGATGAAAATATTTATATTGATGTAGTCAAACCCATCATTCTTTTGCCTGATTACAGGTATAAGCCACCGTGCCCAGCCATGATTTTTTCATTACTTTTAAGTGTAGAATATCCTTTCCTCTTGGTGGTCAAATAGATGCTTATATATTGTCTTCAATTTTATGGCTCAATATTGTTCTGTTTTGTTTTTATGTTTAATGTTTTTTATCCACAAACAATTAATTTTCTTGTTCGACATGAAGATGGGGTGTGACTAAACTTTCTTTCCTCAAAGAGCTACTAATTACTTCTCTATTGTCACTTAAATAGTCCTGTATTTTCCTTATGGTTTGTTGACATGAGGTTATAATGCACAGGTCCTCCCTGAGCACTCTGCTGAAAGTCTACCACAGCAGGCTTGCCCAAGTGCAAACACATACACGTTCACACACACCAGTATCCCTCTACCCTCCCACCTTTACTTTGTCTATTCACAGCACTTATCACTAACTGACGTATTTTCACTTTATGCCTGCTTGTTTGTTATTTGTCAAATTATTGAATGAATTAAATCCATAAAATATATACAATTTGGAATCTAGGTGATCATCTGATCCATTGCCACATCTGCATAGTGCATTTTTGAAAAGCTTTTTAAATCATGATATCTTGGAAAGTGTGTTTTAGCAACTAATGGGAAGAAGCAATTCACAGAAACACATAATGTACAGGGAAAGAGACATTTCAAAGCTCTTTCCAATGAGGAATCCAAGACTCAAGGAAGTGAAATGGCCAGCCCCAGATTACAGCTAGTCACAGGGACACACATGAATCAATGTAGACACCTCAATATAAGTCACTCATTAGCAACACATAGAATCAAGCACCTCCTGAGACAAAGTGCCCGGATGAAAATCATAACACCAATGTTTTCTTAAATCTAATTTTTCCTCTGCAGTGTTCCATGCATAGTCTTTTTACTCAGCCTGCATGATGATAAAACAACCAAATGCAGAATGGAGAAAATGATCTTGGCCATCACACGCACACACACTTAAATTCTAACAAAGAAAGAATTTGTGTGGAATTTGGCTTCTCATCTGTAAGGCCAAGAAAATCAATGCCACCTCATAGTCCTTGTCACACACGTGTCTGTTGTTATCAGCCTTATGCTTCCCCCCAAATCTGCCTATGCCTGTGCTAATCCTGCCACCTGAGCCACCCTCCCCACTTCTCCCAGCCACCAGGTCCCTACGGTCCTTGCAACTTGACTCAATATTTGCCTTTTCAAAGAAGCTCTCCAACTGCAACGGCCCCAAATGGCACATGCTTTTGTGCAAGCCCATCTCCATCACTCCGCAGGCATCTCCATCACTCACTCCTGCACTAGCTCCCACTCTCCGGTGAGGTCCCTGAGGGCAGGGACCCTGCCTTTTCAATCTGTGTTCCCTGACCAGTTGTTCTTTGCCTTTGGATGTGTATTTGTGCTGGGAGAGGGAACACACTGCCCCCAGAACTTGCACAAACCCAATTCCCCAAATTTACCCCCCCAGCCCATCCAAGGCCCTGAGGTTGAAAGGTGTGCTTCCAATAGCATCACCGTGTATGACACAAAATGGGTATTTGCAAAAGTCTTGAGAATAGAGCAAGAGAAATCAGGGAAATTAATACAATAATCTTGGATCTCTATATCTGGCTGCAATTGTCCCCTCATTAATTTATCTGATAACTGCGATGCAACTTGCTCAGCATTTTAACTTCTGAAGGCCGGGCAGAATAAACACAAAGAATCTGGAATCAGAAAAAAGTAGGTGTGAGTCTGGGATCTACTACTTAGTAGCTGGAAGCTCTCGGATAAATAGCTAAGTTCCTCCTCCCTTTTACTAAAGCATAATAATGGTTCCTACTTCATGTGGCCCTTAGGAGGATTAAGTGAAAATAAGATATCTAAAAATTTTCTATATTGTCAGGCACATAGTAAGCATTTAAAAAATGACAACTATTATTATCATTTATTTCCGTCGTTCTCACCTCTCCAGAAAATAATCGGGGATATTTTAATTTCTAAAACTATACTTTCAGAGAAAGACGGAATGCTGTCTCATCAATTATTCATTCGTTTTCTCTCTTTCTCTCTCTCTCTCAACTGATCTTATTTTAGGAATGTTCCCTTCCCCTGGAGGGTGAGGAGGGGGTGCCGGTGGCAGCAGCACCCACCCTTACCTTCAGAGCGGCGTCCCCGAGGCTGGGGCGGGGGCGGCAGCTCCTCCTTCACGCCAGGTCGCGACTGCGGAGGCCAAGTTCAGAAAGTAGGTGAAAAGCAGCGATCCCACCTCCTGACTACTGTGGGACGCGAAAGAGAGGTGTGATTAAAGAGATAAGGCACCCAGAGAGGGTTACGAAAACAAAAGCAAAAAAGAAGAAGGAAAAAGTACAAACAAAATGAAAGAAGAATGTCAGGCGCCTGGCAGCTCCTGGCTGCGAACCCAGCTCAGTGGAGGCTGCAGGTGGGCACGGTTCGCGGTCAGGCGATGCTCCGGCTCCAGGCGCGTCGCGGTCTGGGGCGCTCTCAGTCTGGGGCGCTCCCGGGCGTAGACTGCTCCCTGACTTGAGGTACTCCCGGTCTGGGGCCCCTCCGGTCGGGGTGCTTCTCGCAGAGTGCCCCAGGACCGGCTCCTCCACCCAGGCGCGGCGCCTGGAGTTACCGGAGCTACTGTATCGCGCGGTCCAACTGGGGCAGCTAGAAAACCCGCGCTTCGCTCTTCTCCCACGGACGGCGTGGACCCCAGTCCTCTGGCCCTTCCTCGCCAGCGGCGCCGCGCGGGTCCCGGGAAATCCCGGGCGGTGGCCAGGTGACCTGCAGGGCCGGGAGGGGGCGCGCCCGAGCCGCTCCCACGCACCCTGCTGGCCGCGGCGCATAGCAGAGAATGCCAGGAGAAAGGATGCTTGGCTGCAGCTGTCGCCCGGCTCTTCAAGGGAAGAGGAGAGGAGGGCTGGGGGAGGGAAAAGGGGTCTCCCAGGGGAGCCGAAGGTGAGACAGGCGCCGCGTCTCAAGGACACAAGTGCGCCCCAGGCTTTCTGCTTTCCCGGAAGGATGGGGATTCACTTTGGGAAGTAATAGAGAGGAGTGCAATTGAAGTCAATATTTTTTTTTTTAAGGAGGCCAAAGGAGAATGTGTGTTTCCAGATTTTTATTGTGTGGCAGAACTGTTATTAAACAAAAAGGAAGAAGGAAACCCATAGCTGACAGGCGAAAGTTTTAATGAGACAATGATTTTCACTCTTTTTACCCAATCAAGATAATTCACCATATAATAAACAGAAAAAAAAGTATGTAATTATCTCAATGAATGCAAATAAAAGCATCTGACAAAATTCAACAGCCTTTCTGAATTAATAACGATCAGAAAACAGCGAATAAAAATTATCTTTCTTAATCTGTTAAAGAACATCTATAAAAAACCTACAAGTAACTTCATAATAGTGAAACATCTTGCTTTTTCCTAAGATTAGTGATGAGATAAAGATTTTGGCTCCCACCTGGGACAACTGCTTTGGAACAAGTGAAGAAATAAAAATAAAATTAGAAGGCATAAAGACTAGGAAGGAATAATTAAAACTACTGGTTTTAACAGAGAGCATAATTATATGTAGACCAACCTTTGAAATCTACACACCAAAAAAACCCTAATAGATCTAATAGACTAATAAATCCACACATATAGTCAATTGATTTTTTGCCAAAGTACCATGTCAATTCAATGGGGAAACAGTCCTTTACAAACATTACTGTAACAGCAGAGTATCTCTACAAAATAAGCAGAAAAAAGAATCTCATCCTTGCCTTTTTCTGTATACAAGTATTAATTCACAATGGACCACGAACCTAAATATAAAAGCTAGAACTATAGATATTTCATAAAAATACATAGAAGACTATTTTCATGCCCTTGGACAGGCAAAAAAATATATTATTAGCTAGGACACAAAAAACACTAGCTATATGTGAGATAAATTGATTAATTAGATGTCACCAAAATTTAAAGTATCTACTAAACAATGACATCACTTAAAAATGAATAGATAAGCTGGAAACATTCTCATTTTACATCTATCTGGCAAACAACGTGTATCCACAATATATATATATAAGTCCTACACATCAACAATATAAAAAGAAATAAGATTTAAATAGGGCAAAAGATTTTGCCTTCACTAAAAAAATATATGAATGGCCAATGAAAACATGAAAAGGGCTCAACATCATTAGCTGGGAAACTTCAAGTTAAGACCGTCGTGATACTCATCTAACACCCATGAAAATGATTAAAATATAAAGAAACTTGATAATACCAATTACTGGTGAGACAATGAAGCAACAGAGCTCTCATACACAAGTGGTGGGAATGTAAAGTAGTATAATTAGTTTGTGAAACAATTCATGAGTTTCTCTGAAAGTTTAATATGCACCTACCTTATGACCACTCTTAAGTGTCAACCAAAATGAAATAAAAAACGTATGTCCACAAGTATGTTCATAGGAGCCATATTCATAATACCAATAAACAGGAAACAACCCATATGTTCAGTAACAGGAAATACAAAGCAACGAACTACTGACTCATGCAAAACACAGATGAATCTTAAAAATATTATTGAGTAGAAGTAGCTAGACTCAATACCATATAACTTTACTGATATGAATATAAAGATATGACAAAACTAATCCATGGAGATAGAAATCAAAACAGTATTTGCCTGGTAGCACAATGGAACTTTCTGGGGTGATGGAAATAATATCTGTCTTGTTTTGGCTGAAAATTACACAGTGTGTTCAACAGTCAGAAATCATCAAACCGAACACTTAGGATCAATGTTTTATTGTATGCAACACAAACTTGATTCAATTATAAATAATTGATATTTTTCTTACAATTCACAGTCATTTTCACCATGATTGTGTGGCAGACATTCAACAAGTTTTGGCTACATTTGTTTTATTCACGCCGCCTTGTATAGCAGGAGAAGTATATATAACTCTCACGGTACAGAGGAGGAAATAAGGTCAGTGGTGGTGCTGGTGTGAGTATCCAGGTCTTCTGGTGGTTTCTTGACCTCATTATGAGTGTACAGCCCTGAATCCTGAGCCACTGCAGCTGAGAAAGCCCTTGGGGCCCAGCTTGTCCATCCTCCTATTTATCAGTTGCAGAAACTGAGCCCAGGGAGCTCAGGTGACTTGGGAAGTAGTTTGTAAGTTTAAGAAAAGGGGTAATGGAGAAAAGAGCTCAGCAACTTCAGTTTTCCCCAGGCCAGCCCTATCTGAGGTCTCTGAAGTGCTTCTGTCTTCCCACATATTTTCACAATTGGCTCTAAACCCCATCAGGGTTAGCAAGAAGTGTTTCTTCCTGGGCTATATACACGGCTCCCATCACACTCTTCTCCCCATCCCTCCCAGAGAGGCACTCGGCATACATTCAGACAATGTAAATATTGAATACTTGCAAAGGAGCTTATAATATACAAGGTTAAAACATATTTTAAAATAAGAAATATGGGGCAAACTGAAGCCAAGAAAGAGATCATTACAAATTCCATGTAATGATGTTCTATGTTCCTGTTGTAGAAAAAAAACAAATTTAGCTCTGTGCTTTCAAGTAGCTAATATAAAGAAGAAAACAAATCAATCCCAAAATTTCCTGTATCCGTAAATCAAAAACACACTTGCCATTCTAGATGGATGAAGAAGCAAGGATAAAGACACATCTATTCCTGAGATTGAGACTGGGGATAATTTATTCTTTAGTGGTCCTCATTGAGAGAAGTCAGAGAACATAATAAACATTAAAAGAAGTATAGTGAAGTTTCATAATAATAACTATTGACATTTATTGAATTCTTACTCTGGTCCAAATTTTTTTTAATTTGATTAGCACAGAAACTTCAAGTTAAGACCATGAAGTTAAGACAGAAATCCAAAGTGTTACATATTACTAGTTATTTTACTTAAAGAAACTAAACTTTGGAGAAGGTAAGTATTTTCTCAAGAACACACAGCTGGTAGGCCTAGAGAGGATGGCTTGTTGATTCCAAATACTGTGATATCAACCAGTTAGCCATACAACACCTTTTTCATTGACCAATATTTTAGTAATTCAACAAAACTAAATGGTAATCTACAGAAGTAAGGTAGCCAGATTTAGCAAATAAAACTACAAAATGCCCAGACAAAACGAATTTTGGGCCTTCAGATGAAAGTTCGCTGTCTGAATTCAACCTCAATAGGTGTCCTGATATTGTTTTTCTTTTTTCTTTTTTCTTTTTTTTTTTTTTTTTTTTTGTTGTACTTTAGGTTCTGGGGTACATGTGTAGATCATGCAGGATTATTGCATAGGTACACACATGGCAATGTGGTTTGCTGCCTCCATTGCCCCCGTCACCTACATCTGGCATTTCTCCCCATGTTATCCCTCCCCGACCTCCCCACCTGCCCCCCGCTGTCCCTCTCTTGGCACCCCCAAAGGACCCCACCCAGTGTGTGATGCTCCCCTCCCGATGTCCCTGTGTTCTCATTGTTCAACATCCGCCTGAGTGAGAACATGTGGTGTTTGATTTTCTGTTCTTGTGTCAGTTTACTAAGAATGATGGTTTCCAGATTCATCCGTGTCCCTACAAACGAGGTGTCCTGATATTTTAATACAGGTTTCCTGTATTTTATCTAGCAACCCAATCTGGGGGTGCAGACTAAAGGTATAGGTACCTAGACAGATGAGTAACCATAAGAAACCTTCTGGAGATATGATTTCTCTTAGTGAGGATTCTGAAAGTTATTGAATGACAGAAAGTTCAAGATGATGTTTTACAGCTGAAATAAAACTCAGCTGAACTCTGGACTGTTGACAGGTTGTCAGTGAAATACAGAATCATATACTTGATTAAGCGATTCAACTGAGATAAGCTCTCCATCTACTTACCAAAGTTGAGGCACCAACAGGATTCCTATCTGAGGGGACAGGAGGCTATCACGGTGGCTCTGATCCAGTCTTGCAGCCCCCAAGGGTGTGTGCTTCCTTTCAGTCCTCTGACTAAAGTGTCCCTGACTGCAAATTAACTCCATTTGCCAAAACGGTTTTGTCAAAATGCCCTACTACCTTCACAGAAATGTTACAACACAGTGGTCTCAAATTTAAAAGACATTTTAAAAGCAGGAAATAGATGATATACTGATAGGGTTGATGCAGAATTATTTATCAGGATATTTAAGTTGCATCCCTGTAGTACAACTGGGAGATAAAACACTATGAATATTTTTAAATTTAAAATGTTTCAATGACATGTCACATGTTTTTATTATGATATTAAGTAGAAAAATGCCAAACTCCACATGGTATTACCTCAGCTGTAAAAATCATATGTGTAAAAATGATTTTTTATTTTGAAACGATCTCACTGTCACCCAGGCTATAGGGCAGCGGTATGATCTTGGTTCACTGCAACCTCTGCCTCCTGGGTTCCAGTGATTCTCGTGCCTCAGCCTCCTGAGTAGCTGGGATTACAGGCATGTGCCACCATGCCTGGCTAACTTTTGTATTTCTTAGTAGGAACAGAATTTCACCATGTTGGCCAGGCTGATGATCCTGACCTCTGGTGATCCACCTGCCTTGGCATCCCAAAGTGCTGGGATTACAAGCGTGAGCCACCGCGTCCGGCCATAAATTTTTTTTTTTAAAAAGAAAATTTAAATCTTAAGATGATGGATTTGTGAGTGATTTTTGTTATTTTCTTCTTTCATATTTTATTTTCTTCCATAATATGCTTCTATCACTTTTGTAGGGAGAAAATAATATTTCTAAATAGAATAAAAGTATATAAAATAAATTTTAGAATTGAAAAAAAGCTTGATCATAATGGCAATGGGGATAAGTTATTCCAACAAAATTAGTAATATTGAGATGACGAGACTGAGCAGCCACTCAAATAAAATATAATAGGTCAGGCGTGGTGATTCATGCCTGTAATCCCAGCACTTTGGGAGGCCAAGGCAGGTGGATCATTTGAGGTCAGGAGTTCGAGACCAGCCTGACAGACAAGTTAAAGCCTCATCTCTGCTAAAAAAACAAAGAAAATTAGCCAGGCATAAAAAAGATAGCAATGCACCTGTAGTCCCAGCTACTTGGGAGGCTGAGACAGGAGAATCGCTTGAACACAGGAGGCAGAGGCTGCAATGAGCTGAAATCAGCCACTGCATTCCAGCCTGAGCCTTACATATACTATATATAAATATACATATTTATCATATATTAATAAATAATATTAACATATATTAATATATGATATATGACACGTATAATAAATTTATGTATATTATTAAATATATCATATAAATATGAATAGATACTAAATACATATAAATTTATATATCTCTTTATTTTTTATATATATAGTAAATTTTGTTCCCAACATGCCAGAATTTATATCTATCTATCTATCTATATATATACATGTATATATATATATATATGTGTGTGTGTGTGTATATATATATGTATATATATGTGTATATATATATGTATATATATGTGTATATATATACATATATATATATATATATGTGTGTGTATATATATATGTATTCTGCCTGAGGAAATCAGAATGTTCTTGAAAATGACATGAAAATCTACTATCAAATGATTAGTTTGATATTCAGAAGGTAGCTTATTGACAAAGAATGAGGAGAAATGAAACAAGACCGAGAGAGAGGAAAAGAGAGTAGTGAAAATATCCGACACCACAGTGGAGAGATGCAAGCAAGAGGGAAAAGGGAAGAAAACGCAGGCTGGAGGCTGGGGGACGATTGAAGAGAAAAATTTCTGGGCATTTCTTATCCACCTAGAACCAGGGAAATGGAAGCAAAGTTACCAGATGAAACCTGAGGCCTGAATCCCTTTGACATTCCTACTTCTCACACTTAAGTGCAGAGGCATGAGCCAGTTAGCAGGAGTTAGGAGAGCCTCAAACTCAGAGGTCTTTGCACATCACAGCAGGCACTATTGCTTCTGGGCAGCCAAGGAAGTCAAACTGGAGGCCTTTCTGGGAATTTTGCTTGGCACAGGCATTTGGTACCTCACATGCTTCCAGAATTTGGAACTCAGGGATTGTTTATTGGCAGTGAGGTCCACACTCCACTTGATGGTCCCCTGCACTTTCATCAGATGCTGGAGAGAGTCCTGAAGTGCCTCAGCCTGCAGCCCACCCAGTTCGTTCGCATCCTCCATCTCAATAAGAATCACCTTGGAGTCGTTCAGGATGAGGGCACTGTGCAGGGCGATTTCCTGCTCATAGGCAAACTCCTTGCTGTGTGTGATCTGAGGGGTCAGGATGAAAATGTGCCGCCTGCTGTTTCGTATGTTGGTTTCCACTGCAGTGGCTTCATCTAGTCATTCAAGAAATAGGTCAGATTTTCTATCAGTCTAATGCTTTGAACATAAACATTCTGAACATTTAAAAGTCTTATTGTTATAATCTGGTGTGAGATTCTCTGACATCAATCAAGTCACTTACTCAGAGAAGTAGAAATATACATGGATAGAGAGCCCGGTTTGTTCTTTGTGCTCCTTTCATTCATGAGAACATTAGCCCCAATGTCCTATTTTTGTTTCCCAGGTAGCTTAGTCTTAACTAAAATAGAGTCCTTCCAGGTAAGTGAGAAAGTAAAGATATTTAATCTATTGTCCCCTAAGATTTTCCTAGTCTGGATTAAATCAGCTTCTACAACAGAGATTAATGGGGGATGAGGTGAGGCCAGGACTTACTTTCCTAGAGACTTTGGTCAATTTTGAGGGACAAGGCTTCCTGCATTTTACTTTTTAATATGTGAGTTAAAATTTTAAGCCATTTTAAAACACCTAAGCAAATATTCTAAGAAGATAATATGTACATAATGAACCAGAATTCTAAGTCTTTAAAGACATTAATCTCTGTTGTAGAAGCTGATTTAATCCAGACTAGAAAAACCTTAAGGGACAATAGACCCTCTACCCATTCGGTGTTTATAGACCGTAGACTCCATGGCGATTCCAATTAGCTCTGGGTGGACTTAGAAAGAACATGAAATATCCAGTCCTCACCGCAACAGGAGAAAGCACAACCATAAATAAAACAACCTAAGATATTCTTACACAGTGATGGCTGAAGGTGTGCAGAGGCATGAGGCAGGCCAGCTGAGAAGAGCTGCTCCCACAGGGAGGAGCACAGCTGCCCCGGAAGCCTCACCTGGAGGGGCAGGTATATGACCACCCTCTGACCTCCTGGCAGTGCCTCCCATTGGACAACCCAGCCTGGAGCAGAGGACAAGGGAGCAGATGGATTCTATGATGATCAGCCACCCAGGGCCATTGGATGGAGTGGTGGTGCAGAGAGGATTTTGATGAGGCAAATGCAAGAGAAGTTGCATGAGAATAAACACAGTACCTTGTTCAGTCATGAACTTTTTGAAGCGAAGAGTGAAGTTTGGTGTTGTTTTGTTGGGTTTTATTTTATTTTGGTTGAGGAAAGGTCAGAGGACTTACATGGATGGAGGGAAGTAGAAAACCATTCCAGATTAGCGTGTTGTCGCATGTTTAAGGCAGCACAAGGTTGAGTGTGAGAAAGCTAGCATCTGGGTTTGGCTGGGGGGAAGTGTAACTAGAACTTAGGTGATTGGAATGAGGAAGAGGAAATGAAGAGCTTGTGGCCAGAGGTGGCACATTGTTGAGCTCAGAAACAACAGGAGTACCTGCAGGTTCTTGAGTATACTTGCAATATGAAAAGAGTGTTTGAGAGCATTACTCGCTACTTCTACCTGCATGAGTGACCAGTGGGAGAATGGAAGAAGAAGAGGGCCTTGAGAGAAGAAATGCATTACACACTCCTAAATTGTACTTTTTACAAGTCTCTTGAGCCATTATTGAGGCTATTAGCATTCCCAGATATTCCAGGGTAAACCGAATTCACCTGTTGTTCATATCTTTACATCTATAGGCGTGTGAATTCCTCTTCTTAGTAAGATATGAGTTTAAAATGTAAAACAGAACATTTGCTTTATTAAGATTAGGCACTTGATATCTGGGCCCCATTTACATTCCAAACCCTTCCTGATCTTAGAAATTGGAGAAGAGTACACAAGGAGGGTTCATAGGTACTGGACGTAAATGTGTAAAGGGAAGAGAAAAACAACTGCTGAAATCACAGGTGTTGTGACAAAACTGTCAAAAGTATATGAAATTGAGTGGAAACACTAAGAAACAGAAGTTACAGCTCTATTTCTTTTGGTGAGAATATAAATTTGCAAATGTTTCACCACCATAAAGAAAGTCATGAGGAACTCTCTGAGTCCTTTTAAGATATTTCAGCTAGTGTCTATGGCTACCAGAACAAAATTCTTCAATTTTTAAGTCCTCTTTCAAATCTTATGAACGGAATTAAAAAGTGGCAGAGTTATCCTGGTGGGGGACTGAGGAAATAAAGCAGGGGCGATGACTTGCTAAGTCCTTGAAGCAAAGGACTTCTAACTCTGAATTCACATCACTGACATTACTGTGAAGGTTTCATCACCAGGACAATGATGGGAGAGGAAAGAGCGAACGATGAGGGTCTGCTTCTCTATACATATTTAAAATTCCGGTCTTAAGGCCTGAGGTCATAAATGCCATTCCTGATGCAACGCAGGGATAAGGTCACCTAGCTCACAGCCTCTACTAAGCATGAATTTCTGTCCCTAATGTATGTTGATAGCTTTACCTTGTCCAGGTATCAGATCTCTCCCAGAAATACATAAGGTATAGCCACATTTATTTTCAAGAACATCAGGCAGAATCTGGTGAACAAAGTACTCTACAGGACTGGCCCCATCTGTACCGGTATTGTAGTTCCGTGGGTAGATAACATAAGCATCGTAGATCTTTCCATCTGAAAATGAAAAAAAGAAGTACAACTTCTTACTTGATTCTAAAAATTCTCACTGGACTCTTAGAAGAAATTCCTCTGTCATCCTCCAAAATATTCTAGACTCAAGAGATGTTGACAGCAAACCACTGCCACAAAACATGATCAGGAAATAATGGTCTTCATCCCAAGGCTTTTCTCCTTTTTACTGTCACAGACTAAATAACAAAAAGGTGGACAACAGCCTGTCCAGCATAGTTAAAACTATCTCATCAATTTTGATTAATAATCTATGAATAATGTTTATGGTCATAGAGAGGGATCTTCTTCTGTGCTGGATAGACTTTGGTTTCATCTTTGTTTTCCCCATACTCCCCTGGGAAAGTGAAAAAATGTAAAGCTAATAGTAGCAAGGGCATAGAATTTTTTAAGGGGTCTGAATTTCTCACAAATCAAACAGTTCCTACTTGAGTGAATTGTTTGAAAAATTCAACGTGTATCTGCCTCCAAACGAAAGCATGGGGTTTGCATCTAGCAGACAGAACTGACTCCTTTTATGCGTATACTTATGTGCCTGGGTTAGATTTTACAGGTCATGGTTTCAGGTAGAACACATGTGCATTCTAACGGACCTTTCTAATCTGCTCACATCTGGAAAAGAGGAACAATTTTGCTACTGTGTTTAACTTCATAATGTCTTACCAACACATTATGAAACACATTGTGTCTTACCAACACATTATGAAATTTACACCTTTTTGGGCTTGGGGCATATTCTGTTATTGGGAACTGAGTAGGAATAGCAATCCTATCAGGGAAGAAGTGTGAGCTGTTGAGATGAATCTCATGACCATGAGGAGATACAGAGCAGGATGGACAATGGCCTCTAAGAAAATCAAACAACACAACTCATTGATAATAAATTAGCAAGAAAAATTGAATCTGAGTTTAGCAGGCTAGCCATTGAAAGATTAATAGACAAGTAACCAACAGTTATTATGGGACTTTTTCTTTGGAAGAAGAACTTGATATTTGCCACTTACCATTCCTAGTCCTGTAAGGCTTAGCTATGTCTCTCCAGAGTAGAACAGCCTCAATCCAGAACATTTTTAGGATGATAACCAGGACGTTGATTAGTATTAACAATCCACTACATACTGCAATTATGTAGTAAGTACTGTTTATATGATCAACTATTCAAAAGATAGGGGAAGGAGAAAAATGATTATTATTATTACTGAAAAAAGATAAATAAACAGATACATGGATGCTGGCTTCCCTTGGGAGTACAAGAGTTTCACATAAAACACACCCACTGGAAATTACCATGGCTGCTTTAAGAACCAGGACATTCACATTTATTGAGCTGCTACAACACATCAGGCTAGGCATTACAGGGAATTCTCAAGGGTAAAAAGACACTTGTTAACTAAGATGGGAGGCAAAAGCATGATTTTAGCTGGTAAAGAATTTTAAAAGGAGAGCTTGCTGCATTCAGGACTGGAAAAGGGAGACTTTCTGGAGGAGGACGAGGTCCCTGAAAGATGAGTAGAATTCAGAGATGCAAGAAAAGGATATGCCTACCTGGGCAGAGAGAATGCCACCAACCTAAGTGCAGAGATGGGAGTGTGCTTTCTGAGGAATTGGAATAACCCACTTTGGGGAATTGGTGGAAGATATGATTAGAAAGTTCGGTCAGGGCCAGGTTCTGACCAGACTTGAAACCCCAGCTAAAGCACACTGCCTTATCCTGAAGGTCACAGAGCATTGGAGCTTTGAGTGGTTTTCCCATGAGATTAACCTGATGGTAATAGAAAGTTTGCTTCTGTTCAAAGAAACTATGGGCACTCAGAGAAGAATGGAGTGTGGTACTTGGGATGCAAGATGCAGAGGTTTGTAACTCACGCAATAATGTGAAAGGAAGGGACAAGGTGGTGTCAGGGCATTAAGAAGGCATCAACAGGTGTGAGGTACTTGTTGTCTCTGAAGGCTTGGTGGTGTAGGAGATTGAAGAAGTAGCAAGAGTCACCTAAGTGGCTAAAGCATCTTTGATAAAGAACTCAAAAGTCAAATTACTGAGTTCTAGGTCCTACCATGCCCCATACTCCTCTCGTGGTGAACATCACTCAGCCAGCACTGAACTTTATCCTAGTACTCCTTGCTTCACAAAATGCAGATGCAATATGCATATGCACTGATGAATGTGAGAATGAGATTTGCTGATATGGTTCTTTTCCATCTTGAGTCTCCACATATGGGCTCCCAGTTTTGAGATAGAAAAATCACTGGCCCATATTCATGAATTCCACCACAACCTCTAATTGTTGATCAGCTCTCTCAGTGACCAGCAGTATGAAATCAAGGATTATCAAGGTGATACGAGCCAAAGTTGGGGAAAAAAAGTGAAAATTGACAAAGAGTTTACTGTCATCAGGTTAAATAATGAAAACTCTGTAAATAAATCATTCCAACAGGATTCCTTTCCAAGTCACTCTGTCTAAAAATCCCATCTGGATGCACGGAGGAGTGTGTACTTCCTGTGGGGATTTCTGGGAAGTAACTATGCTAGTGGCTGGATGCTTCCGAGTGGAGGAAAGAAATTGATCCAAGACATCAAAGGAAGTCTTCGTAAGTGCAAATTATTTTATAAAATTATAGGTAATTCAGGTGTGTAATTCACTAAACACTACTTTTTGTATACACATATAAATAAGAAAATGCTGGCTGTGTTTGAATCCTTGCTCCATAACTGTGGTATTTGGCAAGTTATTCAACTTTCTTTGCCTTCACTTCCTCATCTATAAAATTAGATAATAGTAACAGTATCTCCCTCATGAAGTATTGGGAAAACAAATGAGAAAATTAAATGTAAAATAATTAGATAAGTCCTGGTACACAGGAAATAATGAATAAATGTTCACTATTATTATTATGAGCAACAAATGTATATTTAGTAATAGTTAATAAAATGAGGACATAGGCCTGTTAAGTTTTTGTTCTCTTAAATTCAAGAAATGCTATAATTTCAGAAATAAAGAATTCATTGTGACAACTCAACAGCAGTAGTAATAATTTTTAATTTATACAGTTGCTGAAACATAGTGTAACCATGTTGATTTAAAGAAAAACAGGTGAAATACAAATAAGCTAGAAGGAGCAAAGACACTGAATACCTGCAACATAAAAACAATTCCGACACATAGGTAACCAAGGATGTTAATCAACAATAACGTAGCAAAGCATGAGGACGCAAGGGCAGTGTGGCTGGGGAGGCTGGATGGATGGCTGCAGGATCCACGGGGCACATCCCCACCCCTAGTGTGGCCTCACATAGCACCGTGATGGGGTCCACGGCCTTCCTGGGGTGCCACACTTATCACTGGCAGAGACCAGAGACCCACAGAACACTATGGCACTCATAGCCATCTCCGTGAGTTATGACTCTGTTTATTTTATGAAAAACTTAAAAATCAGGGGTTAAAGTCAAAATTAAAACAAAAAAACCCCACATATCACCTCAGGCAAAGACCTGCTATGTGATTCAACCATATTGGGGGTCCCCTGTCCCCACACCCCAAACTTTTCTCCTCCTGTTGTGCCTCTCTGTGTGTATCCAGATAAATCTGGACCCTATCACACGTATGGGTGGGAACCCAGGGTTTAACACTTTCTTTGGCTATTTGACAAGCACATTAAACAATTTCTACGTGGTTGTACAGCCCCTAAGGAGGGGCGAGTGTAAAATTATATTTATCTCTCCTTCCTTTTATATGGGAGCCAATGCTTCCTATAGAAAACAGGATGTCATTGCCAGGAAACACAAAGAATAAGTGAGGAAACTGACGAGTGATCAGGAGTGAACTGCCTGGAAAGCTATTTTCCAAGACAACATTGCATTCAGAGACACAGCAAGCGAGTGGGGAAGGATCAGTCCACCTCTGCGGGAGGAGCACTTCATCTCAGACGTTTCGCGTTGTCTGGGCATGGCGATAATAAAAAGCACAGTGACTCGTAGCTTTAGTACAGTTTTGAAAACTCTATAGACAACATATCGCCTTCTTGTGTGCACCCAAGAGGGATCACTCTCTCCACCCTGCTTTGGCTATTTGTGATGCCACCAATTATTTATGTATAGATAAAAGAATGTTACATTTAAAAAGATTATATAGTGTCTGAAATTAACCCAATGAAGATTCATCAGTTTCACATTGTCCTTTTATTGTGTCATAATTATGTTATCAAAAACCTGCTGGGTTCAGAAAAAAAAGCTATAAGGAAGTGATAAACAATTTGGCTTTCCAATTGATGAGGAAAGTTATTGAATTTACCAAAAATAAATATGAAAATAGTATTTTGTTCTATAATTAAGCCTTATAGCTAGAGAACTAGAAATGTACTCAAAAAATATTTTGTATCAATAACTTGGTTGTGTATTCATTTACTCAGTCAACAAATATTTAACTGAGTACTTGCTAGCTGCCAGGTATTGCACTAAGGACCTAAAGATGAATGAGATGATGTCCCTGCCCTCATGGAGCTTGCAGTCATGTTGAGCAGACTGTCAAACAGATTTTGGTAAGGCAATGTGACCAGTGCTATGATACAAATGGGATGCTGCAAGAGGTTCTTGGAAGGTGTGTATACTCCAAACTGAGGGCCAAGAAAGCCTCCCTGGAATAGGCGGTACCAGAATTGCATGGTGAATAACAAATGCAGGAAAGAAATGGGCTGAGCTAGCAGACTTCCCTTGTGTTTCACTTATATTTAATACTTTATACAGTTTGACAATGATAATGTGTGTGATGTGGTTTGGATCTGTGTTTCTGCCCAAATCTCAGGCTGAATGGTAATCCCCAGTATTAGAGGTGGAGCCTGGTGGGAGGTGATTGGATCATGGGGGTAAGCTCATCATGAATAGTTTAACACCATCCCCTTGATGCTGTCTTTGCAATAGTGAGTGACTTCTCGTGAGATCTGGCTGTTTAAGTGTGGCACCTCTCTCTCTCTTGTTCCTTCCTTCACCTTGTGAAGTGCCTGCCTTCACTTTGCCTTCTGCCATGAGTAGAGCTCCTGAGGTGTCCCCAGTAGCAGATGCTGTCATGCTTCCCATACAGCCTGCGGAACCACGAGCCAACAAAGCCTCTTTTCATAGAAATCAGCCAGTTTCAGGCATTTCTTCATAGCAATGCAAGAATGGCCTAACACAGCATGTCTTATGATAGAGTGGCACCTAGGATTTTCTCACTGAAATGGCAGTGGTTAGATACTCCCCGTTTTCGTTCACTTTACCATCCTCACTAACAAAACATGTATTCATTATGACCAGAAAAAGGTATAGAAGGGACCATGCTTACAACATGTAATAGAAGTTATCCCAGAGCACAAAAGAACACATCAATTTTACTGTTGGTGCATCTTCTTTCACATACAGTGAGACAGAAGGAGTTCATGAAGTCAGAAAACAAGGATGACCAAAGAAGCAGCTGTGTTCTAGAACCAACGACAGAGAAAGGGAGGAAGGAGGAGGAACTTAAGCAGCAGAGAAGCTCCCAGCAAACAGAAACAGTCTACGAAGACCAGAGAGCAAACAGCATCCGAAGAAGAGAAGCACATTTCACAGCACAGTCCACTCCCATTGTCTTGATGGATCTCCCGGTACCGCACTCCATTCTGCTTACACTTGCCACGGAAAGTTCAGGTGACCAAAGTCTCAGAAACACTCCTTACTTGGATTTTTTCGACTTAGTCTTATGGTGTGCCTTCTCAAGCCATGCAAATTCAGGGCCAGACAGTCGTACTGCAGCAATAAATCCTCTTCCTTCATGTCAACTATTCTTAAAACCATGTTTAGACAAGTCATCCCATCGCTGAAACTAAGAAAACAACGTGTTACTTTTAATGCCTACTTTGTAGGTGCAAACTATGTGCAAGGGGAAGGGGATGGTTCTCTTTGATATAAAAATACCTTTGATTTTGCCCTTCCTCCTGTTGAAATCTTGCTTCACCAAAGTCTGTGATACTTTTCCCAGTAACCTGCCACAGGACGACAGCCAAGAACTGAGCGCCTTTTCCAAAACAAGCAGAGCAAGTTAGGCTTGCGTTTTTTCCTAGAAGGGGGTAAGGATATTCACCAATAAAATTAACTTCTGCAAGTAGCATTTTATCCCATTTAACGTAAAAAATATTTGCTAAACACTTAGTATGCACCCTACCATGACTTCCCTCACTCCTCTCTAGCACCTTCCTCTTTCTATGTCCTCTCTTGGCTCCTCCCCGCTCCCATTACCTCCATTCGCCCAGCTGGGTTTGAAGCTCAGCTCCCACTATGCTCTCACCCGCATGGGAACTAAAAAGGCCAATGACCCTGGCTTCACCAAATCCACATTATAAAGGATTTCTAGTAAAAGGATTGCCATTTCCCGGAAATTAGACTTTCTTTCCAACTACTCTCTTCCACACCTTTCTCCTACAGAACTCTTCTTCATCTCTCCATAAGCTACCTTTGAAGATAAATGTGTTTTACCTAACCCAGCTACCATTGCCCAGAACGAACACTCTGCAGCTCTCCATCCCAAGCTCGATAGAGATAAAGATGAAATTAAATCCATACATGAAAGCACCATGAATTACAATAAACAAATGTAAACACTGCAATTGCTATGCCTTCGTTCTCAATGTTAGCCAGTGTCTGGAGCAGGTGCTTCCAGGGATGTTACCTCACTTACTCTTCAAGGTTCTTATGCTAATTGCCTGACCCCCCCACCAAGGGAATTCAGAACATGAGTCATATGGAAGGATTTTCTAGGCAATATTTACAGCATTCCTATGAACTTTCTTACCAATTTCCACTTCCTTTGTTTCATTGTGTGGAGGGGCTCTGATTACTGGAAACAAAGAAAAGCCTTGCTCATCTTAAAGACAAAAAGAAATATAAATATTAGGAGAGAATTGAATGGTCATCAATATATAGGTAGTATTTCCATATTTCTATTGTATTTCATAGCAATGTTTTTCAAATTCTTCCGACAATAACCCATAATGACAAATACATACCCACACAGATTAAACAGAAGAGCATTTAAATAAAACTTTCTTTCACTACCTATGATGCTCTGTAATATTTTTATTCTCTTTGATATCACTAAAACAGATACTGCTGCAGCCCATAAAACTAATTACATGAAAACTACAATTCTACAGCATAAGAATAAGACTACAGGGAAGTTTTCAAAAGACCCATGAAAATAGCAAATGTGTGAGTCCACAGATTTGCTTGCAGCTCTCCACTAGGGTGCCCATCCTTAGTGAAATCTTCCCCATATGGAATTCTGCCTCCCGTGACCACTGCGGCTGAAAGACAGGCAGTGTTTGTGGAGGACTGCTGCAATCCTCCATCCCTTGATGCTCATTCATTTAAAGAGAATGTGATTAAGGACCACCGCAGTGGTTGATATTAAATAGCAACAGGTGCTGATAGGAGTACAGTCTGGTGATGCTTATTTTACTATGGTGGAATATTGAAAAAACTCCAAAACATTTTCTCCAATATTGCTTTGCCCTAAAAAAAAAACTGTCATATGTCATCTATGTCTGTAGATCGACTTGTGCTAAGGAGACCCCAATTCTTTGTAGACTGATAAGCTATGATTGTGAAGTATTTCCCCTAAATAGGCTTTTATAAAATTTAAAATAACTTGGAAAAAAACATCTTTAGAATGAAGTGACTGACTCGAGGCCATTGATGATGCTTAATGTATTGCGAACAAGGAATAAAAACCATTCAACAACATTTATGTACAACATAGTATCCCATCATAAGGCTTCTCATCAAACTTGGAATCCAATGAGTATTAAAGATTAAATTCTTTTTTTTAATTTGCAGAAATTCTGATTCCAAACTAGGGGGAAAAAAAGTTGGTTTTGCTCTCCAAATAGCTGTAGTATCATTCAAAAAAAAAGTAAGTTAGCATTTAGATTGCTTTATCTTTGGAAAATTAAGTCACAAAGAAGAATAAAGAACCGATGTGGCTTTGAATTAGTAATGTAATTTCCCCTGAAATTTGTTAAATCTTGATAGTGTATTCAGAAAATCTCTTTGCGTCATAGTTAAGAATGTATAAGATAAGACAGAGCAGGAAGAAGTAGAGGGAGGAGGGTGAAGTACAAGAAACCCAACCAGAAGGGCACAACTGTTCCCACTTTGACTTCTTTCCAGTATTCTGTCTCGTTAAAGTTGGTAGCTTACCCTTGACCGTGAAGGACCTTGTCGCTGTCACACTATAGTTGGCTCCATTTTCATTGTGTATAAATTTACAGGTGTAATCACCTGCGTCCTCAGTCATCACATTATCAATGACCAAAAATGACTTGTGCGCCCTGTACCTTGATCCTTGAAGAGCCTGACAATTCTGAAATAAGAAATGTTCCTTTTTAGTAATTCTCCACTTTATTTATTTATTTATTCATTTAGAGACAGAATCTTGGTTGTCCACGCTGGAGTGCAGTGGTGCAATCTGGGCTCACTGCAACCTCTGCCTTCCAGGTTCAAGTGATTCTCAAGCCTCAGCCTCCCAAATAGCTGGGATTACAGGTATGCGCCACCACGCCCAGCTAATTTTTGTATTTTTTGGTAGAGATGGGGTTTCATCATGTTGGCCAGGCTGATCTAAAACTCCTGGCCTCAGGTGACCTGCCTGCTTTGACTTCCCAAAGTGCTGAGATTATGGGAGTAAGACACTGGGCCCAGCCACTTGTATTTATTTTAACTGTGTAATTTTCATCTATTTCCTCCCCAAATTTCCTCTTACCTTAAACCACTCAAGAGGTGCTGTCCAATTGTAGAGGTCAATTGTAGGACAATAAATTTTGGAATTTTTTTCTGATCCAGATACTGTTGAATACATCAAATAATCTGGAATGTTGCAATCTGGCTGCTTTTTATATATGGTGACATTTGCATATCCAGTCATATTGGATGTGGGACTTTTAAAATAAGTCAGACAATTAAGAGTCACTTAGCATTGTGAAATAACTTCACCTAAATTTAGCCTTTACTTAATATTGCTTTTCTTCTTAAAAACCATCAATATACATAATGGTTATTTTCTTATTTAAAAATAAACATTTAAATCTAGAGTTTAAATACTATTTTATTACACTTGAGATAAAAACAGCCCCCATGATAGCCCAACGGTGACTTCTTCACCATTTATTCATACACTACATCTGCTGTAATCCCAGTGTAATAAAGATATTAGTATTTATTGAGTTTACTCTGTACCAGTGATGATCAAGAGCACTTTTCACACATTACCTTAGTTTATTTTCACAATAATGCTTTGAGTTGAATTCCATTATTACATGATATGCATTTTACAGGGAAGGAAACTGAAGGGCAGAGAAGTAGCTTGCTGGCATCACCCAGCTAACTAGAGGCAGGGCGTGAATTTGACACTCGTCCAGCCTCAGACCTAGGCCCTTAACTAACACATCCTGCCTTTTGATATAATTCATTTGACATTTTGTGTATGCCAAATATGGTCACAAAATCAAATTTTTTGTGAACAAGAGTAAGTAATTTGTAGGCACACAATCTCATCAGCCTTCTGTTGCTTAACTTGAAGGTTAAAAGCACTGGTCACCACCCCTTTTCACCTACCAGAGGCCCCCTGAGATGGAAAACAACCAGGTTACTATTTTCTGTGCTGGTTTGTTCTTAATTCCAGCCAAACATGAGCAATTACTCTCAGTTATCTTGGTCATTAGGAATGCTAGGTTTTTCTCTAAGTCAGCTGCAAATTTATCCCTGCAATTATAAATCCAAATAGCTAGCTCGAAATGAGCTAGACCTCAACCTGACAGTATCCCTAGAAGTTTATCCAAATCACTTTATAAATTTAACTGTTCCAGAAAGGACTAGGGAAGGAATGAAAGCAAGGGCGGCTCAAAGGATCAACTATTCAAGAAAGGTGAGCAGGCTGAAAGAGGGTGGGAGCTTTCTGCATAATACCTTCTGACAATGCAGGTATAAATACCAGAATCATCAACTTTGGCTGGTAGAAACTTAAGAAGTTGGCCTGAGGCAAACACATGATTTCTTTCCTGGGTAGGAATCCTTTTGTTTGTTTGTGGGTAATACCAATCCACTGTGTAACTAGGTTTTCCTTTTCTAGGACATCTCACAATTAAAGCCTCATTTTCCAGGCCCCATGATTGTTTACCTGCAAATAAAAGATATAAAGACAATCCTAAAATGACCAAATGAAAAGCTTGTAATTTCTATCCTCTCAATATTTTCTTCCAGGATTAAATTTAGAGACTGGTCAAATACTGTGATACTTTGCGAAAAAATAAATAAATGATTAAGATCTCTTATGAAATGTTGATGTATTAATTTGGAGCTAAATCCCCCACAGTGCTCCAATGGAAAAGCAGCCATATCTATCGAAACAAACTATGTGTCAGTCAACAAATACCTACAACACCTCCCATGTGCAGGCACCATGTTAAATTCTGATGCATTTGAATATGTATAGCTAAACTTATGATATACACATTACAAAGAATTTCTTCTGATAGATCTGTAATGAAGAATGATTGTACAAGAAAATATATTTTTCAGTTTACAATTCGACTGGAATAATTGGAAGCAAGTCACTTAAAACAAGGTGAATGTTCTTGAAATTATGTAATTTACAATAATTTAAATTATAGTTAAAAGGCAATACTTACTAAACTTCGCTGCTGTGGAAGACATGACAATTGTGAGAATTGTTAAGATCCAAAGCCCCATTCTCTGTTTATCAGTCAAGAGCAAGTGTTGGTAACTGGTTGTTGAGATTACTCCAGATGAGTCAATGGCATATAATAGTGAAGGTCACCACGTATGAGGCAGTTGATGATGCTCCCTAAGACAGAGTTGAGAACAGTAGCCTGTATCTCAACTGAAAAATAAATTAGCCAAAACCATAAACACAATTTTTATCAGCTATGATTTTTACTTTCTCAACACCACCCAGGAGAATGAATTAATCGACATGTATTTATTAAGTGCAAACAGATTTAACAGCAGGTTTCAGACAAGCGGCATTGGATTTATTCTTATGGAAGCTTTCCGTCATATAGCTCTCACAAGGATCATGCTATTTGACAATTATCATGCTACTTCACAGTTATATTTTACCAGTCTCATGAGAATGTCCTGAAAGAAACTAAGAAGGAAGGAATATGAGTTTCTATTTTTGAAAAATTAAATAAAATTCAGTAGACTTTAAAAAACACATTGTATCATGTGAAACCACAGACATCCACACAGGCTGGGGGCAGCATGCTCATATAAATAGCTCTCAAACAGACACAGGTGCAAGCAGTCATCACAAAACAGCTAAGGAGTAGCAAAGTCAGAACCAGACTAAAGCATTAGCCAATTAATTGCCCTATTCTTAACCCTAACCCTCAAACATTTGTTCCTTCTTCAGCTTGTTTCCAGGAGTTGCCAAAGACTTTCTAAGAATAGTTGAAGGTCTGTGATCTTTCAGAAAAAGAATCATTTACTATATTACTTGTTTTCTTAAAATATCAGGGGAGGAATGGAACCAACATAGAAATTCATGAACATAAGAATAAACACAATCATGAATTATGAAGACTTTCCTTATTACAAATTTTAGGTAACGAATTGATGCTTACCCAAACTGAAAGACAGAGGGGATGAACTTGGAGTCAGTGACGGAGCTAAGAATAGTCTCCAGCCTTTGTAGGTCCCTCCTCATAGACTACCCACTCTCTTTTATTTTAAAGGGGAGACACTCACAGACATCCTGTAATTTGCCACTCCACCCATCCTAAAATTTGATTTGTAGCCAAATCCATGACTTGTTCAAAAATGCTGATGCATCATGTACTAAGAGTTCTTGATGTTGACAAATAAATATTTAAACACAAAAACAACATTGAGTAATGCCTTAAGAGGAAATAATTGAATCATTTCCTCCCATTTTAGCATCAGTTTCAGGCTGAATCATAAATAATGTTTATTGGCTGTGCCCTGATGTTAGGACACTTTTAGTTCTAAATGGTCTTGACATCAGGGGCTGGAGGCTGCCTTTCCAGATATTCCTTGATACCTCATTTGGTAGACATCACTCAGGAAAGCTCTGCCAGCCTCGGCAGCATTGGTGCCAGGCGTTTCAAAAGCAAAGATCAGGGAAAGGCAATATGAAGTAAGAAGCACTTTCTGGAACTTAAAAATGCTCTGTCTAGGGTCCAGAATGTGACTTCACCCCAACCCAAAATAGTTCCAGCTCCTTGGATTTAAAACTCAGTAGGGCTCTCATCCTGGATGAAAAAAAAAAAAAAAAAAAAAAAAAAAAAAAAAAGTTTTTCTGGAGTGCAGAGAAAGAGAAGGGGGCTGAGGGGGCTGTGACTAAGAAGCTTCCCTCAAGGGGAATGATGATGAAGGAGCCTCAAATCTTGGGCTCCATGTACAACAAACTTCAAAAGCAAAATTTGATTTTAGCTATGCGTAGTTGTGATGACCCTATCATGAGTACAGTCAACCTTTTAAATGATGTTTAAAAGTCATCACATCGGGCCGGGCGCAGTGGCTCACGCCTGTAATCCCAGCACTTTGGGAGGCCGAGGCGGGTGGATCACGAGGTCAAGAGATCGAGACCATCCCGGTCAACATGGTAAAACCCCGTCTCTACTAAAAATACAAAAAATTAGCTGAGCATGGTAGCACGTGCCTGTAATCCCAGCTGCTCAGGAGGCTGAGGCAGGAGAATTGCCTGAACCCAGGAGGCGGAGGTTGTGGTGGGCCGAGATCATGCCATTGCACTCCAGCCTGGGTAACAAGAGGGAAACTCCATCCCATTAAAAAAAAAAAAAAAAAAAAAAGTCATCACATCTCAGAAGGATTCAAACCAATTTAATAATATAATGTTAATAGCTAATCTTTCTTTAGAATGTACCCTACGCCAGACACAGTCTAAGTGATTTACATATATTAATTCTTTCATTCTCACAATCACCCAATAGGCAGGCGCTTGTATTATGATGCCCATTTTACAGACAAAGACACTGAGGCACAGAGAGATTAAGCAACTTACCCGTGTCACTTTACATTAAGAGGTGAAGTCACAATTTGAACCCAAGAAGGCTGGCTCTAAAGACTAGACTAATCACAGACTCCAACTGCCGCTGCTTGTGGAAGGTCAAGAAGGGAGGTGCTGCAAAAGGGGGAGTTCTCAGTACATTTTTTGAGCCAGCATCTTTGCTCCCCATAGTGTCTGGAACCAGTCTTGAACCTCTTATCTGTCAGGGGTTTAGTCAGCCTTTGGGTGTGTGCAGCGGCTCTGAGAGGAAGAGATATACAGTCCCTTGACCGCTGGGAGATTGAGCCTGAGATGTTTGCTGTAAATTAGAGGAATTAGGTCTGCACATTGTTATTCTTGACCTACTTGGTGGAAGTCCGTTTTATCGAGATCTTATTGCAGTTTTGGTATGAGATGACAGCTGGAAGCCAGCGAGTCTGCAATGCGGCCTGCAGTTCCCAAAGTGCTGCATAGGGTTTGTTCAATAAAATCACACAATCTCAGAATTGTTTTATATTTGGCATCCCAAAACATCTCTTTAAAACATGTATTAAGTGTGAGCATTCATTCATTAAACTAGGTCACATGAGCATTGGTTTCTCTGTTTTAAAAATAAGGCTTCGGTCAATTTTAACATCATAATGATGAAATTTTGCAGGATTATTTACTAAAGTCAAACTATTCCTGTAAAATAATTGTCGTTCATTTCATAATTAAGAACTTTCATTCAAAGTGCAATACTGTGCGGTACTTATGATCAACATCACTCAAATTTTAGAGATAGAAATAAAAACCCAAGGATAAGACTGGTTAAGTAATTTGACCAAGTTCACCCAGTTGCGGCTGGGATTGAAACCAGACTTTTGAACTTCGAAGCCAAGGTTATTTTTTCCCCTAATGTCAACTAAAAAGGAGAACATCCTCTATACCAGAGATTAGAGTTGTAAAGCTTTTCTTTTTATAATTGGGACTGGGTTGTTAAAATAAGCTAGTCTATAATTTCTTCTTTGAAAAGAACTAAATCACTTTGGCTTCTCACTACTCAGCCACCATCTGACATAAAAAAGAGTAGCAACTTAAGACAAACTGCAAAAAGGCAAGGACTTCTAATAAATGAATAAAGCAAGAGATTTTACACACCCATACATTTCTACCAACTTAATCAGAAATCTTCCAGTGTCTGCTTGTTTCTCTGGCAAACATCCTTTTGTAGACATCTCAAAACTACTCTCCCTTTTCCAGATCAATCTCATGGAATCCAACCTCATTTAACTGAATTTTTCTTAATTTTGTTACAGTTTTGAAATCTATATGTGTGTATTTACAACTTACTTCTCTGACGTATCCACTGAAAAAAACAAAAAACAAAAGAACAAACAAAACCTTATGTTTTGAGGGTGACAGCTAGCTGCTGGCCTGTGGAGTGTGACATTCAAGTACTTTCTAACTTAGAAGGTATCTTGGAAGATTTCTTCATTTGACTTAGTCAGCTATCACACCCAAATGTAAAATGTCAGTACCCTAATACACTCCAGAGCTGTTCATGTGTGGCCTGGTCAAAAGCCAGGAAATTTGGTCACATTGTCCTGTATGAATTTTAGTGAGTCAGACTCTCATTCAGAAACTCTCAAAATAAGCAAGGGGTGGATTTTTTCCCCCTGATTTCATTAGAGGACATCTGGGTGCCATTTTTATTCTTTTTATTTTTTTCTTGATGAAAATGTTTGCAGGACCTGCAGTGGACGGAGCAGAACTGGAATGGCCCTAGGTGGCCTGGCCGGGGCCTCTGGAGAATGTGCTGCCCCCCCGCCACCAGGTCCATTATCTGTGTCACCCTGGGCAAGGTGCTTGTCTCTTGGCCACACTCCAAACTGTAGGCCCACTGAAGGCTCCGCTCCTTCCCGCCAAACTCCTTCCTTCTTCACTCAATCCTCCCCTCCAAAAACCAGAAGACCAGTCTGAATGGTTATTATTAAAAACTTTAAAAACAGCAGATATTGGCACGGATGTGGAGAAAAGGGAATGCTTATACATTGTTGCTGGGATCGTTAATTAGTTCAATCTCTATGGAAAACAGTATGAAGATTTCTCAATGAACCAAAAATAGAACTACCACTCAACCCAACAATCCCACTACTTCTCTAAGGAAAAAAAAAATCATATAAAAAAGACACCTCTCCACCTCTACTAGTATGTGCACTGTATCACTCTTCACAATAGCAAAGTCATGGAACCAACTTACATGTCCATCAATAGTTGAATGGATAAAGAAAATGTGGTGCCTATTTCCCACAGATTACTATGCAGCCATAAAAAGAGTGAGATTATGTCCTTTGCCACATAGATGGAGCTGGAGACCATTATTCTAAGTGAACCAATTGCTACATGTTCTCACTTATATGTCAGAGCTAAACAATGGGTACGCATGGGCATAAAGATGGAAATAATAGACACTGGGGACTCCAAAAGTGGGGAGTGTAGGAGGCGAGGAATGAAAAATTACCTACTGGATACAATATTCGCTATTTGGGTAAGCCCAGTCCCCACCAGTATGCAATATACCTGTGTAAAAAACAAGTATATGTACCCTAGAATCTAAAATTTTTTTTAAAAAGAAGAAGAAGAAGAAGAAGAAGAAGAAGAAGAAGAAGAAGAAGAAACCAGCATATATTATAAGGACCAAGTGGAATTAACAAAAGTTTCCTGTGTTCAGAACAGAACTTCTGATCTCCTCCAGCCTCCTTGCTTTCCTTGCCCCTAAGAAAAACCAGTGTCTCTCATTTTCTTCTTATCTCAATGATGACAACTCCCTGAATATTGACTCAGATCAAGACTCCATTTATTATTGA